CCTTCACTACTGCTGCGCAACGCCAAGTTCCCTGGTTCTCGTGTGTCTGGATCTCTGCCTCGATTGCCTTCCTTATGTCTGCCACTTGGACCTTCCCTTTCTCACTTTCTTCCACTCTGGATGTATCAACCGTGCAGAACAGGGTATCCGTGAAGGTCGTCGGCGTTGTGTTCGACAGGGAGATGGTTCGCAGTCCACTTGGTTGGCTTGCTGGCGGCGTGCGAGCAACCTCCGCGTATGACGGCGGGCGGAGAACCGAGTTTCGAACCGAGACTGCCCATAACGGTGGAGCGCTGTGAGATGACGAATGAGAAAGCGGACGGGGTAAGGTCTTCAAGTCCAGAAATGAGCTCCACTATAGAACAAGTACCGAGCAGCTTTGACAGAAACAGATCATGATCATTTTGTGGATGGGAAAGGGGATGGGCATTCAAAGCATTCAGGGTGCCGAGGAACAGAACACCAGGTGACCGGATTTGCCCCACACGATTCAGCGAGCCCCACTTATCTATCTTCTAATTATATCAAGGCAAACTTTGGATTAGCTGTGTAGCATACGGCGTCAGTGGTTTAGTGGTAAAATCCATCGTTGCCATCGATGGGCCCCGCGTTCGATTCGCGGCTGACGCAGCTAATGCTGTTAGGAACGTGTGATTGTTCTTTTTATCGTTTAGGCAGTTTTTGTGGGCCTCGTTTTAGTGCTCATGTTTCCGCGCCGAGACGTAATGCCCGGCCACAGCTCTCAAAAGAGACGGAAGGAGCAAAAGTGTTCCGTGACAAGACGCTGAGATTGCAAAAGAACATCAATACTCGGATACCGGGAGTCGAACCCGGGGCTGTTGAGAGAGCAGTCACTTCTTGGAAGTGAGAGTCAACGATGTTACCGCTACACCATACCCGACTGAATCGTGAATGGTTCCGATCTGCTCCAACCGATGGCGCAGTGGATTTTATCAATGCTACTAATTGCTGGGGCAGTGAAAGTAGGGTACGTACCTCCGTACTTGAACAGCAATTTCGACAGCAGGCACATGGGCAGCAAAGAACCTGAATGGATGAAAGTCCATACAGAAAAATGTAATGGCTGGGCCAGTGGTTGGCAAACTTGTGCCTACCCGGCAAATGACGCGGTGCTGCTGTTGCTTTGCCATTGCGGTGGGCTTGACCGCAGGCTGTGAGTGACGTCACAGGGAGCGCCAAGGGTTCAAGCAAGCAGCAGCACACGACCACATGCCAATGATGTGATTGCATCACTTACACAAGCCCAGAAACCGAAACCACAAAACAGGTTGTGGACGGGCGGCGATCGCACAAACAGCACATTCAAATGCCGTTCGCCATCTCCACAGGTCTGCATCTCGACTGCCTCTCGACTTCGACTTTCGCACTCTTGCACCGCTACATCGCGACTCAATAACTGCCACGGGGCTTGCAAGCCCTTCAGTCCCTGTCGGCGCAGTCATCTTTTCTTTTACTAAGGTAGTATCGCCTCCTCCAGCCCAACGCCAGCACCAGCAAGCACCCACCATGCTGCCGTTCCACCGACGCGAGGCTCGTCGCGAACCAACGGCACGAGCAGAAAAGCCGCCGCGCAATGGACAGTCCAAGTGGAGTCAGCTCGTTCACTTCGTGATCTACTTCATCAAGGTCTCATGGCGGGATATTCTCACAATGGCTATCCTGGGTGCTGCCTCACTTGCTGTAAGTTTGAAGCATTCCTCGTCGCCCATAACTCGACGTGAATTCTAACCGACTCATCAGATCTACCAAGCGCCCTACGCCGCGACCCGCAACTTCCCCGTCACCTTCGACGCCTCGGGCGACATCGTCTACCCGCAATTCGCCTACCCGGAACGCGGCTGGATTATCTCCCCTTCCTTGTCAGGCGTCATCTCGGCCGTCATCCCCCTCGGCATCATCCTCCTCGCCCAGGTCCGCATCCGCTCCTTCTGGGACTTCAACAACGCCGTGCTCGGCCTCCTCTACTCCCTCATCCTGGGCTCCCTCTTCCAAGTCATCATCAAACAACTTATCGGCGGCTTCCGTCCTTACTTCCTCGCCGTCTGCCAGCCCGACATCTCGCTCGCCCCGACGCACAACAACACGGGCCTCAACGGCGTGGGGTTCCACCAGATCATGTACACCAGCGAGGTGTGCACTAACCCGGATAAGCAGGCCATCAAGACGGCCATGACCAGCTTCCCGTCGGGCCACTCGACGACCGCGTTCGCCGGCTACGTCTTTTTGTTCCTGTGGATGAACGCCAAACTCAAGGTCTGGGCGAATTTCCAGGCCAGCTTTTACTGGCTTGCGGTGCTGCTCGCCCCGCTGCTCGGCGCCACGCTCATGGCCGCCTGCCTGACCGTCGATCAGGCGCACAACTGGTACGATATCCTCGCGGGCGTGGTCATCGGCACGGTCGTGGCTTTCATGTCGTATCGTCTGTGCTATGCCGCTGTGTGGGACTGGCGGTATAACCACATCCCGCTGAGACGGGACCGGGTGTTTGATTATACTGCTGCCGCGGCGTTGCCGGCTGAGGTGCTTGAGAAGGCGTTGTGGGTGCGGAAGCTGGGGTGGGGGAGGAAGAGGAGGGCTGGGCGGCGCGGGATGATGGGGAAGGCGAAGGCGAGGGGGAGCAGCAATGCGAGCAGTGCTACATATGCGAGGAATGGGGGTCCCAGTATGGATGTGCCGAGGGGGCAGGGCGTGAGCTACCCCCACCCGGCCACGGTGAGACATAACGGTGGTGATCCGTACTACGGACGTGGGGAGAACATGGTTTAGGTGGTGGGTGATATTTTTATGGTTCCTTTGCACTGTTTCTTTGTTGTTCAATCCGAGATACCTTCCGCGTCTGTTTCCGCACTCAATGATCTCCCTGTACCATATGTTATATATAGTCGAGGACTTTCAACCAGTTGGTGGAAAGCATGATACAGATTAGGTGCTGTAACAGCAGTATGTTATTGTACAAGCTACGGATGCTCCGTTCACGCATCTCACTTACAGTCCCCCAAGAAAACGACTTCGAACCAATCCGTACCCATAATATGAACATACTCCCGTGACACCTAGTACAGTGGACAACAAGAGAACACCTCCCGTCACCACGCCCTGGTTGAAGAACCCTATATGGGTAATGCCCTGGTGGCGCCGCTTCACTGCGGGGAGCTTGGCCAATGCCTCCCGCGCTAGTAGGCCGAGTTGCTGCGGTGAGCTTTGACGAAGGATCGTTGCCAACAGACTGTCCGGTGCGGACGCAGCAACGAACTGGGCTCTGGGCTTGGAGAACAGCGCCTCGTTGTACGGTAGGTATGTCTCTGGGTCGACTGAGGTGTTCGAGGGGGCCATTGGCAGGACTAAAGATGTCAATACAGGCAGGGTCAAAGGCGACGAGTGAGGCTGTACTTACATAGGAGAGTTGTTGGAACATGGTTGACGAAGGACATGGGGCTGTCTAGGAACTGGCAGATATACTTCGCTGTCGAGGACTTGGTGAATATATATGCTGCTCCGAGCCGTGAGTTGCTGCGTACATGTACATGTCAGATCAAGCCAGGTAAGGCGCGGACGGGCTGCAGATGGCATACCTCCTTGAGAAGTCAATGGCGTCATCTATGCTTGTTACAGGATGGACGAGGAGGCAGCCTTCTTTCACCTTGCGTCTCAGAAGCGAAGATTGTCTACCATGCGTCAGTGGCTATTTCCCGGAAACATTGAAAGGGGTGGTTCTGCACTGACCTGTCCTCAACATCCACAACCGCCCCAGCAGAGCTCCACGACAGCACATTCACGCCCTGCTCCGACCTCACCAACTCAGAGAGGCTCTGTTGCCCGGAGGCAGTCCTCGGGGCGGGAGATTTCTTGCCCTCGTCCGAACCAAACCTCACCACATGCCGAACCACGGCCTCCAGAAACGGCTTCCTGACCCACTCATTGACCAGCACCAAGTCCGGCGCATACGGCGACCTCCCCCGCAGTGCAAACCGCGCTCTGACCAGCTCCTCTGCCGCAAGCTCCAAGTCAGCATCGCGCTCGATTACCGCCACGACGCGGGCGTCCGAATCCGAGACAAGGTGGTGCGAGAGAGGAGGGGTTGTGTTTCCACTGAGGCTTCCATTTTGCAGCACCCGGACATGGGCATGGCCGAGGTCGGCGTCCTCGACCGGGTGATGCGTGACCTCAAAGACATCGTCGTCCAGCGCCTGGGACACCAGATCCAGTACCAACCGGGGGGTTTTCAGGAGCGATTGGTCGGCCTGGACGACGACGCAGTTCCCTGCCGTGAGGGCCGGGATGAGGGCCGAGAGGAGGCAGGAGAAGAAGGCGTGCTTGGCGGGGTGGATGACCACGATGCCGACAGCCTCTCTCCGTTGAGCGGCGCTCTGACCCCGAGAGACGGCGTACTCGTCGTGCAGGGCTTGATCCAAATCGAGCGCGGAATAGGCATTCGCGAGCTGCCGCATGGCTAGGCAGTATTCGACGTGTACCTCGGCCCGGGTGTGGCCTGTGTCGCCGGCGATGGCATCTTGGACTTCGGATGCGTTTGCCGAGAGGGTGTCGTGGAGTTGTTTGAGCTGGAGCTTGCGGAAGATGGGGTTCAGGGCCCTGCCGTCGATGGCGGCGGACCGGATCTTGCTGAAGGGCTTGGGCATGGCGTCAGGGGTTGAGGACGTGAAGTCGGGTGTGGCGCAATGCTGTTTGGTTTTCGTCTGACACTGGATTAAAGGTAATCAACATCACTGCCTTATTCGGGCGGCCACAAGGGTGGTCATGCCGTGATCGTGTGGATGTGGTTGCCGGGGGTGAGACAATCGGCAGGGCAAACCTCCACATCCCGGCGGGCGTCCTCGGCACTTGTCACCCGCATAACCACCCAAGCACTGCTTTCGTAAGCTGCCGGCATGGAGTACGAAATCGGAAAACATGAGCGACCAGCCACGGGGGATTGCTCGCAAGTTCCTTCGATTTCAGCTCTATTCTGTCCAGCATTTGACCAAGCAGTCCAACACGATGTCATCGACCACTACCACCCCAACTCAAACTCGCACACGGCAGAGTGTGCTGAAGGACTACGAGTTGCACCATTCGCCTAGTTCTTCCAGGACGGTGTCCGGCAGTCCGGCAGCACCACCACCGACGCCGCAGGCGGTTCCCCTGAATCAGCCACAGTGGGACACCGTCCATCGCCGAGTCCCTCCGTACCGGCCCATCAACAGGGATCGAGACCAATCTGACGTCCGAGTCTACACGAGCCCCATTGAGCGCGTCTTCATTGGGACTATGTTTACCGGTGTCTTGGTTAATTCTGTGAGTCTCCCGTATCAGTGAGAGGTAGTTAATTGGGCGGTGATGGTTCGCTAATATGGATCTGGCATGAAGACGGCGGCCAAGGTCTGGAGAGGAACGGTTGGAAGGTGGAATGACGGCGTGTTCAAGTACGCAATTGGCGGGGAGATATAGGTGTTAGCTGCATCCTAGTGGAATTGTTGCTCCGTGTGTATGCGCTGCTGTGTACTAAAGAGAGTTGCTTAACTTGGCTGTCTTGCGCCTCCATTAAGTTTGTTACCAGAGCTCAGGCCGTGATTGCCACCGCCATCATCCATGAATGCTTCTAGGTACACAATCCACATTCTGACAAACCAATCTCATTATACCTGTAGTTATCGAACTCCCCCTTTGATTTCCTCCATGTTCTGCAACAATGGTAATCCCATATTCATCCACCAGGGAAGCACCCTTCCCTCAGAAACGAACAGAACCCCATTTACTCTGACCCCTTAACCCCCTGCATGCCTCCATAATCCTCCCCCAACTCCTTCCCCGCAACGACAACCGGTTTGACCGGCTGCAGAACATACAACATCCTCGCCCACTCGGTCTGACTACAATTCCGCCACGCATGCATCGTGCCCCGCTGCACGCAAATATCCCCCCGTTCCAACACCCTCGTCTCGCCCGAGTCGAGCACCAACTCAATTTCGCCCTCGAGCACCACGCCATAGTCGAGGCTGACAGTGCGGTGCATGGGCGAGGTGGCGCCGGGCGGCATGTCGACGTAGCGTAGGACGGTGCCCGTCGACACGGTCAGCCCCGGCGGGTTGCTCAGGAAGGACTGGTAGGCGGCCGTGTCGGCGCCGTTGGTCATGTTGACGGGGAATTCTGACGTGACGTAGCATGTCGCGAAGGTGGCGTCGCCTTCGCCGAGGGAGTAGAAGGGCGCTGGGAATGGAATGGAAGGGTCGATTATGGCTTTTCCCGAGTCATCGTGCGTTGTGATGAAGCGGTTGGGGGTGCGGAGTCTGCCTTGGAGGGCCATATTGGACTGCTTTGGGACCGGATTGGATTTGAGGGGTGGATTGGAGGTTTCGGTACCAGAGTAGGCAAATATTCGACAATTCTTGACTCGGCTTCTTTATCAAATGGCACTCGGAATTGTGCAGGAGATGTCGTCTTCGGCAACCGTCTGCCGGGCGCGGGAAGTGGGCTCATGTGGACCGGTCGTGTCCCGATGGCCGACAGACCGGCCGGTCATGGGGCCCCTGCAACGGGCAGCGGCTCAAAGACATTGCACAAGAACCCGGAATTAACTATTTGGAAGTGGAAACATCAGGGCATTCGGCCGTATCTGTGCCACCAACATCGACAGTGTCCACCAGCCATGGCATCTCCTGATTACGCCCATCACTTCTCGATCCGCAATGTCCCGTTCGGGATCGCGTCGTCCAAGTTACATCCGAATCTGCAGGCCGCCACTCGGTTGGGAAACTCGGTCATATTCTTGAATGACTGTCATGAAGCTGGGTTATTTGAGGGCATTGATGGATTGCCCCCAGGAGTCTTTGCCAATGAGACTCTGAACGAGTTTGCCGCTTACTCGAAAACCATCTGTCGCCACGTTCGCCAAGCCATTCAGAATGCGTACCAGAAAGGAGATGCCTCCGAATTCCCCTCTGGAAGTGTAGAGGACATCACGCAGGTCCAAATGCACATGCCAGTCAGAGTTGGCGATTTCGCAGGTCCGCTTCCTCTCAAGTCCCCAGGGACGATAAAAGGGCTTATGTCTCACTGACTAGTCATAGACTTCTCCTGTTCCCTGGAACACGTCAAAAACGCGGGCCGCATCATCATCAACGACGAGCGTCCGCCCCCGGCCTTCTTCAATTTCCCCATCGCCTACCAGGGGCGAGCCAGCTCCGTCGTCGTTTCCGGGACCGATATCGAACGGCCCATGGGGCAGTACCGGGACAAAACCGCTGCCGGCGAGCCAAAACCTGTCGTGTTCGGCCCCTCGAGGGCGGTCGACTACGAGCTGGAGTTTGCAGCCATCATTGGAAAACCGCTGCCGATGAGGCAGAGGCTGAACGCGGTTGACGCAGACGAGCATATCTTTGGGTTTGTCATTCTGAATGACTGGAGCGGTAAGACACCTTGTCATCCAACTTATAGCATCTTCGTGCTGATACACAACAGCCCGCGACATCCAAGGCTTTGAGATGACGCCCCTGGGCCCGTTCAACGGCAAGAACTTCGGCACCTCCATCTCCCCGTGGGTGGTCACTCCAGATGCGCTTGAGCCGTTCAGGACCGAGGGCCAGAAGCCTGCCACAGACATTCCGAGATACCTTCAGGATCCGAAACGCCAGACCTACGCCATTCGCATGCAAGTGGACATCGTAGCGGGAGAGGAGGCCACTGTGGCGGGGACCTCGTGGGTGCAGAGCCTGTACTGGTCGCCGAGGCAGATGATTGCGCATGCGGTCAGCGCCGGAGCGGCCTTGAGGACAGGAGATGTCTTGGCCACTGGCACGGTCACGGGAGATGGGGAGGATGCTAAGGGTTGTCTGTTGGAGGTTACCGAGGGAGGGACGAAGCCGTTCAAGTTGAGTGACGGCAGTGGGAGGACGTTTCTACAAAATGGCGATGTTGTGAGGATGACCGCTGTTGCAGGGGAGGAGCAGTCAGGGGTTGGCTTTGGCGAGTGCGTTGGCAGACTTGTGCCTTCCCGGGCGTTTGAATGATGTGATGTCAATTCCCGACTGGAATCATGGAAGCCGCGAAGCGTTTACCTATCCTTTCTTGAGCCGGAAAGCGTTCATCACTATCGCTGATTCACACGTGATTAATACATCAATCATGCTGCAAATGCGTTTGATTCAACCGATGACAGATCATTACACAGTCCAGCCCTGGTTTGTTTGTTACCTGAGGGGTAAAACGTACCTAGGTACTTTTTAAGTAACGTTACCGGTCGAGCGCGTCCGCCTTCATTCAACGTTAGCATGAGCTCTGCTTGACGTTCACTGATTAATTTCGAGTATGATATCACCAAGATTGGAGGTCTGTCTCACAATTTTTCTCAATACATAGCAATCCGCAAGCCTGACCTCGTAGAACTCAACCCTCTTGACCGCAACTATATTTCGCTGGATTTGCATCCGTCCTCAACACTGCCGCGAGAATGGCAAGGCTCTACAGCGCATTCATAAAACACCAAGAAATCCTTGTTTCTTCTTTTCAGTGTCATTTCTCCTTCTTCAATGTCTTTAGCTTCTCCCTTTGTTTCCTACTTCTTATCTTGCTTGCCTATATCTTTTGTTTTCCTTTTCCTTTTGCTTTTGCCTTACCGCTTCTCCCACGGTTAGATGTACGAATTCAGGCCAGACCTACCCAGGTGGTAAGTTCCCATGGCCAAACCGAGTGGACACGGGCTCGGCCTTCGGTCCGCATTGGGCGGGATGTGGCCCGCGAGTTCCTGCCACCTCCCGATCCCCCTCTGACCTGCGCAAACCCCGCGTCCGTATTACCGAACGCCGGGTGAACGAATGCGCATGCATATTTGGGCCACGTCAGCCTTGCAAAACAGGCAGCAGACGGCTCGTTCACTATTCACGGCCCAAGCATCTTGGGGTACACAGCCGAACTGTTCCAAAGTCAGACTTCAGGTTTACAATGCCGAACAAGCTTCAGGATCTTCACACTGTCGATGACGTCAACTTTCCGTACGTCTTTGAGCAGAATGCTACGGTACCGTTGAAATCCAGCGGAGTGGTGCGCTGCAATGTGTACCGGCCCAAGACAGCTGACCCCGTGCCGGTGCTGGTCACGTACGGCCCATACGGCAAGGACATACACTACAAGGAGTAAGACCCCATTCCCAGACAGCACAGGCAACCAGGCTAATACAGCTCAGCTTCACCCCCAAGTACTCTGAAGTGAACCCGCGGCACCGGTCTGCCCACTCAGCCTGGGAGACGCCGGACCCCGGCTACTGGGCCGAGCATGGCTATGCCGTGGTTCGCGCAGATGAGCTGGGCTTGGGCCAATCTCCTGGCCTTCTGGACACGATGTCCCGAGGCACCGCGGATGCCTTTGTCGATGTTGTCGAATGGGCCGCTGAGCAGCCGTGGTCGTCTGGCAAGGTTGGCTTGCTGGGCATCAGCTACTATGCCGGGAGCCGTATGTCGTGCCCCTCAGTGCTGTCAATGGGAACTGTGAGCGACACGGCTGACACTGCAGATAGAATGGCGTGTAGCTGCTCGCAAGCCCAAAGGCCTCGCCGCCATTATCCCGTGGGAGGGCATGTCGGATTACTACCGGGACCGATGCCGCCACGGCGGGATCCTGTCCAACGCCTTCATTAGGTTCTGGTGGAACAGGCAGGTCATCACCAATCAGTATGGCCAGCCGGGCCGTGCAGCCTCAAACTGGGGTCCCGGTATGACTGTTACTATCCCTAAAAGACACCTTATTAAGGTACTCTTATTGACAACCCCTGAGACACGATTGAGGGTGATCTCTCGGCAGAGGAACTGGCTGCGAACCGCCGCGACCAGACCATCGACAACAAGGTCCACCGCTTCCGCGATGAGCCCTATTATGCCTCGAAAGAATACGACATGGGCGACATTGAGGTCCCGCTGCTTTCGGTCGGCAACTGGGGCGGCATCCTGCTGCATCTCAGGGGCAACATCGAGGGCTACACGCACTCCGGGTCCAGGTTCAAGTACCTGCGCATGATCACGGGCCGCCACGACCTGCCCTTCTACTACGACGAAGAAGTCGAAGTGCAGCGCAGCTTCCTCGACGCCTTCCTCAAAGGCGAAGACCGCGTCGGCTGGTCCCAGCCGGGCAAAGTCCCGCCCGTCAGCCTGGTTCTCCGCAAAGGCAACGTCGGCTTCAACAACGCCGAGGCCGAAAAGGCCTACCAACGCCGCGAGGAAAGCGAATGGCCGCTCGCCCGCACGCGGTACACGCGCTTCTACCTCGCCCCAGACCTGACCCTCCAACCACCCAACGCCAACCTCCCAGTCCCTGACCGCAAGAAACTCACCTACCGTGCCCTCGGCACCATGACCGATCCCCAGCTCATCCAATTCACCACCCCGCCCTTTGCCGCCGACACCGAAATCACAGGCCACATCGTCGCCCGCCTGTGCGTCTCCATGTCGCCGGACCCGGCCTCGGCCACCGTTCCCTCCGACATCGACCTCTTCCTCACCCTGCGCTACCTCGGCCCGGACGGCAAGGAGGTCTTCTACACGGGCACGGCGGGCGACCCGGTCCCGCTGACAAAGGGCTGGCTGCGGACCTCGTTGCGCAAGGTCAACAGGGAGCATCCCAAGCACAGGGAGTGGCTGCCGCATCGGGATTATTTCAGCACGGATGTGCTGCCTGTTATCCCCGGAGAGGTGTATGCTGTGGATGTGGAGGTGTGGCCGACGAATGTGGTCGTCGAGAAGGGCGGAAGGGTGGTGTTGGAGGTGGCGTCGGGGGATACGCAGGGGAGTGGGATCTTCTTGCATGATGATCCCGTGGATAGGGCGCCTGAGGTGTTTCGGGGGTTTAATCACCTGCACCTTGGGCCGCAGTTTGAGAATTATGTTACGCTGCCGATTATTCCGCCTAAAGGGGAGTGAGGGAGGGGATGAGAGGCAGAGTTGAGTGGTTGGAAGGAAGCTGAGGTTCAGCTTTGATAGTTGAATAGACGGTTGTGTTGCTTACCAACGTCGATAGTTCCTCATATTCATGCAGTGCTATATTGACAAATTGCATGTTCAGGGAAGGTTGGTTTACTATGCCGGGTGTTGTAGTGTTTCGCTGTGAGAATGGGTGAAGGTTGCTCGAACTAGCTCGTCTCAGACTTGGATGATCCAGCGGGGGAGTATTTCAACCTCAAAAGCTGGACTGATGTCCTGATTATTATGTCATTGATCACCCGCATGTGCATATTGGTGAAATATAGGGTTACTCCCCACACTTCGGTTGCAACAGGCAATCAGGGTTCACTGTTTTAGCACATATTTCAGTTTCAATCTATTTCACTATACGCTCGCTGTCTTCAATGACCAAAATCGTATTGAACAGAGAGATTACGCCTGAATCATGCCGCAGCCACCGGCATTCTCGGCCACCTCCCCCACACAAACTGGCTGTTACACATGTTCGTCAACTCCCACGTCTCAGCCGCCAGCTCCCCACGGACCCCCTCATCCTCCTCATCGCCCACGGCCCCAGCCACAAACAACGCCGCCATGAAATGGTCATCCGTGGCATGCGCATCCCGATACAGCGGATGCTTCATCAACCTTGTCATGGCCCTCCTCAGCGCCGGGCCCGTGTTATTCCGGCACACGTCCTCGACGGCCTGGCGGAACTCGAGCGCCCAGGTCTCGGGCGGGCGCTCCTGCGCGAAATTGTCGCTGAAGCGCAGCATGGGCGTCCAATGGTTGCGGTACAGGTTGTGCACGGCGCCGCCCGAGCCGATGAGGAGGTAGTTCTCGGCGCGCAACGGGCGCAGGGCGGCGCCCACTTTGACGTGGAAGTGCGGGTCGTAGCGCTCGTTGGTCGAGATGAGGGTTGTTGGCGGGCAGCCGGAGGGGAACATGCGGATCAGGATCAGGTAGGTGTCGTGGATCCAATCGAAGGTGGCGTCGCCCGAGGCGTGGAAGCCGGCGGACTGGAGCAGGTTGATGCAACGCTCGGCTGTCTTGAGGTCGGGGTTGAGCTTGTAGTCGACGTATTTGCTGGGGTGCACGTAGGCTACGGGGGACTTGGTTGGTGCATGGTTGGTGGCGACGTGGATTTCGTCGCCCTGGGCGCCCCAGTGGGCTCCCTGGAAGTTTGTTAGCAATGGCCAGTGAGGGAGATTCGCATAGGGACATACCATCATGATGACGCCCTTGATGTTGTTGGCGAGAGCTTCATCTCCAGCTTTCTTCCAATATGTGGCCGACTCGGATTCCTCGCCAAGCATCATGGTCGAGCCATGCGAGAAGAAGTACACCGGGGTGAGAGGAGCTGCATTTCCCGTTCAGCTGTTATGCGACTTGGCCGGTCGGTAACTGAAGGCAACTTACCCATGATCCAGGGAGATCTCAGGGTTTGGCAAGCGATCTGCTTCGGTCTTGTCTGCTCAGTATATTGCTCGTCAACAGTCTAGTTAAAACCCAACACAGGCACGGGGCTGTACGTCAAAGACAGGCCTGGAGCGTGGGTCGGATCGGGGGGCCTTGAGAGCTACTCCCTTGAAAACAAAGCCCATCTGCCGGGTGAGGATACTGATGCTATTCGGCGCCCCTCCCTGCACTCTCCGGATTTCCCGTCTTCAGGTCCCGTACCCCTGTCATCGGCCCTGTTGACCCCTGACTCGGGTCATGTGGGGGATCTGGAGCCGAAAGCCGAGGCTCCACTCAGCTCTCTTTGCCCGTCTCCAACTTCTTTCCGGCGGTTATCTCGTCGTCTCGCTCGCCACTTCCCATGTCGCATTCCTATCTCTCCTCCCCCAGATCCCGAGTCCCCCCACGCCTCCGAACTGCAACTCAATCGAACCATTGCGGTCCAACATGAGCACCATTGAAGTTGGGAGGACCACACGCGCAAACGAACAGCCGGACCAGGGGCTCTTCCAGTGCGGGTCTTGCAAGCGCAACTACAATCGACTGGACCATCTGGCCCGCCACGTTCGCTCTCGTAAGATAGAAGCGGGGATGTGTTCAATGGTGTGGTCAGCGGAACTGACGGACGAGTTTTCCAAGATACCAACTTCAAGCCGCATCGCTGCTCTGTCTGCGGCAAGTCATTCTCGCGGACGTGTGTAGCCCCTGCCTGGATCCCACTTGACCTGATAGCGTCATGACGGCTCTCAACGACCCGTGATTGTTGACGGCCATCTCAGAGACCTGCTCAAGAGGCACGTCGCTGCCCACGATGTGCGGAACGCAAAAGTTAACAATTTGATCCGCGGTGCCGGCGAAGACATTCCCAGCCGAGTCTCGAAAGCCTGCCGGGCTTGTGCCGCGAACCACGTCCGGTGTTCCGAGGCGAAGCCATGCCGTCGGTGTGCCGAGAAGGGGCTCGAGTGCGTCTACGCACGAATCGACGATTCTGCGACGCCCGAACCCACCGATGGCTCCCGAGCAAACCATCTCATGCTGACTCCGTCGTCCATGCCATCCAGCCTCGACGTTCACTTGGCAGCAGAGCAGGTGGCAGAGACCATGTCCGGAATGGACACCCGCAGCCGAGTACCAGGGCCACCGCATGCTTCACCTCCTCTGCCAGGACTTTCACCCATACAGAGCTCCCTCCCACAAGTGATCCACACTGAGGCTGCCGGTGCTTCTTCGCCCGCTCCTCTTGCTCATCAGGCGGCCTTTGGTAAGTTGTCATTCAATCTACACTCGCAGAATACTTCTCACCCCCGGTGACAGACGATGACTTTCTGGGCGCTCATCCCGAGCTTCCTACGGGGTGCTGCACCCCAACCTTTGCCCAATGGAATTTTCTCCCCGGGCTGTGGTCGGCCGCCGGCGGTGATATCGGAGTCAGTCAGCCGTTTCCAGGCATTGAGTTGGATGACCTCGATCTCCGCTTTCTCGACACGTACAACGCCAGCATTCCGTTCGAACTGGGAGGGCCCGTCACACTACAGCACTCACAGCCAACTACTTCCATGGGCGGCCCAGCATCGTCTCATCCGGCGTCAGGAGCCTCCGAGGCTTTCCGTAACTACCACTGGCGCTTTCGGCCGAATCCAAAAGATCATGGCGCTGCCGAGGAACACAACCTCTCACTCCCTTCGGATGGCCGCGATCACCCGTCACCAGCCTCCAACATCTCGTCAGCCCGACGCGCCACGTCCGTCCGTCTCGCATCCGCAGCTCGTGATAACATCCTGACCATTGTCGTCAAGTCTTGTCGACCTGACAATCTTGTCAAAGCAGTCGCCTCCTTCCCGAGCGTCGAGCTGCTTGACACACTGATCCAATTCTATCTTACCTCTCCCCACGCGCGGGCGGACACGTTCATCCACGCGGCCTCCTTTGACCCCAACGAGAAGAAGCCAGAGCTCTTACTAGCCATGGCGGCTGCTGGCGCCGTGTTGACTGCGGACCCGACGCTCACCAAGCTGGGGTACGCAATGCAGGAGTGCGTCCGCAGGGCCATACCCACGCTCTGGGAAAGCGACAACACGCTCGTCCGGAATCTTGAGCTCACCCAGGCGTTCCTGATCAATCTCGAAACGGGGCTCTGGAGCGGGCTCAGTCGCAAGGTTGAGATCACCGAGAGCTTTCTGCAGTCCCCGATGACCATGATGCGGCGAGGAGGCAAATTCCGAAAATCCAGCTACCCTGCTACCATCCTCGACGCCAACGACCAGGACACATCCGACGAGACGGCATGGCGAACCTGGATCCAGCAGGAGTCGTTCAAACGGACCGCCTTTCGCCTCGTCCAGCACGACCTCAACTCGTCCATGTATCTTATGGTGAACCCGCTCGTCTCGTATGCCGAGCTCTCCCTCCCGCTACCCTGCGCGCCCGCACTCTGGACCGCCACCTCCGCCGGGCAGTGGAAGTCCCATCTGGTACAGCACACCTCCCTCGCCCACCAGCCCCCCTCCGTGTCCGACTATCTCGACGACCCAACCTTCTTCAAGCCCCACACCGCTACCCTAGACCGAGCTATCGCAAACGAAGCTTTCCTCGCCTGCGCCTGGTCGCTAGCATGGGAATGCATCCAGCTGACCTCGCTCCAACGCAGTCCCACCGGCGCCAAACCCTCATCGAGCACACCGCCGCGAAGATGGAACCCCTTCCTCTTGACCTCCCGCCGCGAGGAACTCCTTAAATTCCTCAAGCACCTCCGTCTTAGCCTCGCCGCCGACGACACCACCATCAACACCACCACCACCCCCTCAACCTCTCCCAACATACCCAACGCCCCCGACTCAGAAGCCCACAGCACAACCGTAACCCGCATGCGCCTGGAGCTCATCCTCTTACACTTACACACCCCCTTCGAAGAAGTCCAGACCCTCGCAGGCATCGAAGGGCCGGACCAGGCTCGCGCCGCGTACCCGGCCGTGCTGGACTGGGCGACGCGCACCGAGCAGGCGCGGAGAGCAATCTGCCACGCCGGCCAGGTCCTCCGGTTCGCAAGGGCGGTGGGCAGGGGTATGTTGCTCGGTCCCGGGGCGGTGGGGATGTATCAGGCTAGTTTGGTGCTGTGGGTGTATGCGTTGCTCGCTGGGCATCACAAGAAAGGCGGAGAAGATGTTCGGGTTGGGGATGGTGGTGATAGGTTGTGGTTGGACGGGGAGGATGAGATAGGGAGGCGGCGGTTTACGCATTTTGAATTCGGCGTGCCGTTTCTCAAAGGGGGAGGAGGAGGAGGCAGGGCGGGAGAGGAGGGAGGTGGGGAGGAGGTGTCGCTGGGGGATCCGGAGGGGGTGCTTGGGGTGGTGATTGGGATTGTGAGGGGGAACTATGAGGGCTTGCCCAAGCCGCATCTGGTGGAGAGGCTGTTGCAGCTTATGGAGGCGCTGCAGAGGTCGTCGGCCGGCATGATGGACTTTCATGGGCAGCTGGGGAGGCAGTAAGGAGTTGCTGAGCGCGCAATCCTATTCTCAAGACAGATAGTACCACATACATCCAGGCGCGTCAAGTACCCAGCTTGGCTTAAGCCTTTTACTGTTCCGTTTACCTCCGCAAGCCGAGGGTGATAGATCATGCCTCGGGTGCTATCTCCTTTGAACTCGCAGATCGTGACTGTCATGCCTGGCAGCTTAAAGCCTGAGCACCCGATTTCATCCCCGAAGACATCGCTTGTATATATAGGTTGTCAGAGGGCGTGGAACTACGAGATACCTCAACGCTTTACCTTCTACCGACTAATGTACAGTCCATCCACTCAGGCCCCTACTCAATCCTCTCCGCCTTGGCCAAGTCATCGACACCACAGCCCTCCTCCACCTTTGCTTCGAGAATACCATATACCGGAATCTGCGAGAACTCAGCCGCGATATGGTGAAGAGTCGGCAAGCTGTTCCAATCACCCTCGATGAACTGGAGCCTGCCGTCACGGCTGTGGCGGCTCTTCTTCACCACGCGAGGAGTCGAAGAGGCGTTGTCCCGGATGAGCACGGGGTATGAAGCATCCGCTTCCCCGGGCTTGCCCACAGCCGGCAGATAGCGGTAGAACATGATCCCTTGCTCCTCAGGCCCAACAGCCTGTCCATAGTGTGCTTCCGTCGCTGTGCCGTTGGTTTGCGTTTCGGTCTTCTCCGCGCTACCCTCCTCAAGGCGATCCAACTGCATCCTGAGAAACGACACGCCCCCCCAGCTGCACTCAACCCCAACCGAATCCTTCGTCCCCTCGTCGATGTCAATATCGCAGAACAACTTGGGCATGCCCAACTCCTCACGCCCCGTGATGATGGGATCCGCCAATGACTCCAACAAGACCACCAACAACGAACCCACCACGTTCCCCCCATCCTTTCGCGTGTACTGCACCCCATGGATCCACAGACCAAGGTACTTATACCCACCCCCACCAAGCCATTTCATCCCCCTCAACTCAGTACACCGAAAACTCGCCTCGGCCACGGTCCCGGGGCCAACGAAGCTGAACCCGGGCGCGGGGAACAGTGTCTTGAGGTATGTAGCCGACGTGCGGAAACGGAGCGAGTATGTCGTGAAGCGCGAGTCGTGCGCGGGGATGGGCTGGCCGAAGTGGTCTTGCCGTGGGCTCGGCATGGGCCCGAAGGAGAGCGGTGACCGCCAGCGTATGGGATGGCCGCTGCGCGACCAGAGGTGCTCTTTCAGGGCGCGTGAGGTATTGTGCCATTCGTCGTGGCCGAAATTGTAGTGCATGAAGTCCATTACTGGTGATCATGTTAGTTTGTTGATAAGGGGGAAAGATGGGTTGGGGGGTTCAGGGGCTAGGTGGGGCGCTCACTGTTGAAGGTGCCGCGGTTGGCGTCGTTGAGGTCCATCCCGGCCAATCTTGTCAGGCTTTGAACCTTGTGTGCTCTGCCGTCGCGGATCTTTTCGTACAGCGCCAGCCGCTCGGGGATATCGTCGACGGTGGTGCCTCTGGGCAGGAGGACGCAGAGGGATGCTGCATCCTCAATGGCAATGCCGCCTGTACAAGTACGAGGTCAGCCCAACATCCCATGTTGATGCAATGCGGTCAGGATGTGTAAGTCAGGTTACTCACCACCTTGGCCCTGATGGGGCAGAAACGGATGAGCGGCATCACCCAGCAACGCCAACCGCCCCTTATGCCAAGCTGGGATCCTGTCCATGTCCAGCAAGGTCCATACCTTGAGCGCACTTACATCGACCATCTCCAACAGTGCCCTGACAGTGGGCTCGAAACTGCTGTAGACGTCGAGGAGGACCTGCTTGCTCACGCCACGGTTCCAGCCTGTACACACACTCAGCTCGACACCCGGATGGACGGGGACCAGCGATTGGCCCGGACATGAACTTACCTTCTCCCCTGGAAGCTGACAGCTCACTCGGATGGATTCCCACAAAGTTCATCATGGTATTGTTGGAGCACGGATACATGACCAGACGGCGGTCGTCTCCCATCCACATGGTCATGTATCCCTCGCGGCCGGCAAGCTTTGTTGTGGTCGGATTCTCACGGATTTGGCTTATAGGTATCAAGAACCGGAAGGCGCTTTTGCCGGAGCCAAATGGCTTGATGTCGGGCCCGGCGACAATCCTGCGCGTGACGGACTTAACCCACTTCAGTTAGGGTTCGTTTGATAACTGGTCTGAGAGATGCGGTACTCACGCTAACTCCATCTGCGCCTAGCACCAAGTCCCCAGCGTAGGAAGAACCATCCTCAAGGGTAATAGTGGCGGTGTCGGGGTCGACGTTTGTGACAATGCTCGAGGTCTTGAGCACTGCCGGTGTCCCGGCTCCCACAGGAGACGTGGCCTTGCGCTTCAGGTCTTCGTGGAGCTGGACTCGATGGGAGAGCACCCATGGCTGCGGGAGCTTGTTAGCCAAGGACATCCTGACTGCCACAGGGAAAGGGGGAGTACTGACATGCTGCCAGATCGACAACGCCTTCCTCAAATCCAGGTCGAACTTGAGTTTGCCGCTGGACGAGTACTCAGTGACCTAATAAGCCATCCTGTAAGCCCCTTTTCTTCCAATACGCGGGCTCGGATGCAGACGGACGTACACCATTCACGGGGTTCGCCCCGAAAGACTCGGGGAACACGCCGAGTCTCCGGAGAATGCCATGGCAGTTAGGGGCGAGATGGATGGCAGCACCGGTTTCTTTTGCCAGTTGTGACCGTTCAAACAGCTACGACCAGTAAGCCTTGATCCGCTTCAGTCTTGATGTTGCTTGGCATGGGCTGCACTCACTATCACCTCATGCCCGTGCCGGCGCAGGCCCAAGGCCGCAGTCAACCCTCCGATCCCTGCATGGCGTCGTGTTAAGATCAAGACAGACGGCCCGTAGCGGTGTCGGGGCCAGCGATATAGTGCAAGGTATCTTACCAGCTCCAACGATCAACACTTTGAGGGGGCGGTGAGGTTCCGGAACACTTGCCATCGTAATTCACTTAAAACAACCCGCTATCAGGATAGGAATGTCGGAATCCGAACTCGATGAACATAGAACAACCCCTTGTCGCTCCCCATATGAGGCTGAAATATCACGTCAATGTCTTGTCAGGGGTGGTTTCGGCGAGAGCGGGTCATGGAGGCACGTCGGAATGTGGCCCCACGTCATCCGATTTTGTGGTCGTGACCGAGGGCGCGGTTTTCCTGTATAGTAAGTTGTTGAAGGTCCGGCACGCCCTAGGGCACAGCGGCGTAGGAATAATAATGGTCGTGACCTGTTGGCCGGAGAGCACACTTCAAACCCTTGCGCCTGGAGCTCGGCAGTGTCGGCATCGATACGGCAGTTGAACACGGCTAGTGTGACTTAATACATTCAGCCCGTCCATATTCCAGGTTGCTGTGAGACACGTGCAATGAGCGGAAGACCCGAGTACACACATGTCAGGAGTCAGTAAGATTTGCTCAGGTACCTTAGCCTACACGAATGGGTACCTACAGTACCTTAGGTACTTACCTGTACTTGAGAAACACGGCGTAGAACCTGTTGAGTTGGTACACACCTCGTCTTCGAAGCCGAGCCTCACACCTAGGTTATTACACATTACGGCGGCCTGGTCAAGCTGGGCGTTTCAGGCGCTCCCAATGCATTAAATTAAACTGTGACTTGACGCATGAAGACCGCGACCGATACCGTGAGTGAGGGTACCTATTTCCATGCCGCCAGCAATGCCGTATCTGGAAGTACATGTATCCAGAACAGTACTCCTTCCACGATCCAGACTCGACCACATCGACATCCCAAGATTCTAGACCTCTCCACTGTAAGGTGCCAAGTCCGGGTTTTCCGTCTGGGGATGTTCTGGGGTTGTCTGGGGCCCCGCGTTTTCCCCACAAACAGCAAGAAATTTGGTGCCGGGTACGTGTGGAGGGCAATCCCCGTCCCGGCCGAGCAAGGGTGTGAGAAGACGTACGCGTCGTCAACAGCTCAGGGGCCGGATACTCCATGTCTCTGCTTCAAATAGAACGAAAGTACGTATGCTACGGTGTCCACCTCAGATCATAAAATTCCCTGGGGCGGGCCCGTTACAACTTTTTTGCTCCCTTTGTGTTGAGAGTTGAGAGACGAGCCCCTATCCTCAACATCATGGCGGTCTGGCGTGAAGCTTTTGCCCTGTCAGCGGCCGAGGTGGACGAGCGGGTGCCGCCAGGGACGGTTAGGATCCTGGGTCAGTCAACCTCTCCAGGGAGTCCACCTACAGGTATTTACTGACAAAGCGTCTTCCAGACAACCAAGAGCACACAGCCAACCATGACAGCCACTTCGTCAAATTCCCCAAACCCTCCAGCAGCCCCCGGGATCCGCTCAACTTGCCCTTCTGGCGCAGGACGGCGGCGCTGCTCGTCGCCTCCCTCTATGCGTTCGTCGCCAACTACACCTCCTCCGTCATCGCCCCGGTGCTCCAGCTCTGGCCGAAAGTCTATCCGCAAGACCCGAGACCCTTCTCCGAGTTGTCCTACATTATCGCGGTACAGTCGCCAAAATGAACTCTCTCCTTCCTAGACTACACCCCCAACCCCCGCCCCCCCCCCAACCCCCTATTTTCAAACCAGGCATCAACCCGGACACTAACTCGCGCGTTGGTTCATCTTCCACCCAACAGGTCCACGTCCTCCTCCTAGGCGGGGCCAACATTTGGTGGGTGCCGCTGTCCAACTGGACGGGGCGCCGGCCCGTGCTGCTCGTCGCCACGCTGCTCATGACGCTGTGCTCGGTGTGGTGTGCCAGGGCCGAGTCGTTTGGCTCGCTCCTTGCGGCGCGGATCCTGCAGGGCGCCGGGGGCGGGGCGGCCGATACGGTCGCGCCCGCGCTGATTGGGGATTTGTTTTTTATTCACGAGCGGGGGAGGGCTATGGTACCTATGTTCTTTTCACGCCTTCTCTTCTGCCTTATGGATATGAAGAATTGTGCTGACTGGGGCGGGTAATAACAGGCAGTGTATACCATCTTTCTGTGCGGTGGTTCGCTGTTTGGTGGTTTGACGGGGGGCTACATCGGATACAGCCACGGATGGATCAGCGTGTTCTGGGTCAGTACGGCGTTGTCGGCATTCGTGTTTCTCGGTGTGGTTTTCCTCATTCCGGAGACGCTGTTTGACAGAGTCCCGGGGGATGATGCCAGCCCCTCTTCTGCCTATATCGACTCCAAGGCACCAGAAACCAAGGAGATCGAAACGGTTCAGACGCAAGTACCCCAGACCCACACGCACCTCACGTTTGCCCAGTCGCTGAGCATCAACCTTGGGAGACACGACATGGCTCGCGGGGGCCTGCTGCACTACCTCGTGCAGCCCTGGCGCACCCTGGCCTTGCCCGGCACCTGGGTGGTCATGCTGCACTACGCCGGCCTTGTCGGCGGCGTGGTGACCGTGTCACTCATCGGCCCGCAGATCGTCGCCATGCCCCCTTACCTTTGGGGTGCCAACGCCGGGTTGATCAACGTCGGCGGCATCGTTGGTTGTGTTGTCGGGTACCTGTACACGTACCTCCTGGCGGACAGGCAGCTGAAGAGCCGGGCCAAGCATCAACGACGGGGAATGGCCGAGGCCGAGGACCGGCTGCCGACGCTGTTCTTCCCGCTTGTGGTCGCGACGTTGGGCTTCTTTATGTTTGGTTTCTGCGCTCAGTATCCAGGACCGGATCGCTGGGTTGGGCTTCAGGTTGGGTTTGGAATGATTTCGTTTGGGCTGACGCAGGTGCCGTCAGTGGGATTCAACTATGTAAGCCACACTATCATGCCTTGCCCTAGGACGTTTGCTGACGGGGTATGGCCCCAGCTGATCGATGCCTACGGCCACTTGGCGGCCGACTGTTTCACCATGGTAACCATCCTCCGCGCCGTCATCGCCTTCGCCTGGACCTTCTTCGTCGCCACTTGGGTCCATGACAGAGGGGCGGCCGAGGCTTTCAAAATCTTCGGCATGTTGATGGGTCTTTTTGGCTTGGCCACTGTGCCTCTGTGGATATTTGGCAAGCGGATGAGGATTGCAACTAAGGGGCTAGTGGCCCGCCAGGGGTGAGACGAGCCCCTGTCTGGAGAGAAATTCGTAACTCTCCCTATTTAATTGGTCTGCAATGATCCGTACCTATTCGTGCTGCAATTAAGTGAAGGACCTGGCGATAACGGCCTTTACTTCCTATCAAGCGCCCCGGCCCCTTTTCCCAGTCGATACTGATCATCAACCACCTTGCTATACGTCGGGACACCCCCCATCATCCCATCGGCATTCGTCGTCCCAGGCGCGCATTTCTTTCCGCCCCAAGCAACCCCAGCGACAGCCTTCCAGATGGCCGTGATATCCCGTGCCATGTCCCAGGTGTAAAACAGCCTGCAGTTGGCCGCCTCATAGCGAAACTGCAGCGGCACCTCGCCTTGTCCCAGGTCCGACGTATTCCCCTTGTACGGCAGCAAATCAACCGAATTGAACGTGACTGTCATAGCCCAGGAATCGCCGCCCTGCGACCCTCCGACTCGGAGCGGCGGCCGGTACGTGAACTTGTCGGGCGGCAGTGTCAAGCCTTCGGGCACTTGGGACCTGTTAAAGTCGGGCATCAACATGAAGCTCATGCTGGGGCCGCCCCTGGTCTGGCCGACGGCCTGCATCGGGGCGCGCAGTGGGCGGCCACCGAGCACAACGGTGAGCACGCCATGGGCGTGGGTCAACATGGTGACGGTGAGGGCGCAGGCCGAGCCGCACTGCCCGTCACTGACAATGATGATGTCCTCGGGACGAAACGGCGGCGTATTCCATAGCTGGCGGTACTGCCATCCGTCGGGGAGAGGGAACAGGTCGGTGGAGAATCGGAGGACCGACGTTGTGTTGATAATGGCCGGGTGGGTGTGCTGGCCCCATCGTTTGTGGCCGGCTGCGGCATCCAGGAAGGGCCCGTACAGCTCTTTGAACGAGGACCACGGCTTGCCGTCGGGCCTGACAAAGTCGTACAGCGGCCATTGGGATGCAAAAGACGTGAGGTCCCAGACCGGTTTGCCCAGCCAGGCAAACTGGGGATGGGCGCGGGCCTGCGAGAGGATGGGTAGGGTATCCCCGGGGAAGAGGGCGAAGTAAAGGGCCATTATGTTGGAGGTGAGGCCGCCGCCGTTGCCCTGGAAGTCGAGGACGAGCTTAGTACGGTTGGCCGCTTTGGCAGCACTTGTAAAGTCAACCACGACTTGATAGAAGTTTCTCTGTTGAACGCTCATGGATTGATCGACGTGGTCCGGGTGAGGCGCTTCGCTGAAGCTATTCACGGCGAGCACTGCCTTATCCGAGAACTCGGAGCCTTCGGGGAGAAAGCCAGCTACGTGCCTGGTCGACTTGAAGGCCCTGGGATAGCCCGTGAAAGCGGCTATATGGTTGCGCTCGGCCAGTTGGTAGAACCGGGCATTGAGAGGCCGCTCGTCTGTCACGTCGCCCCAGCCATAAACATCGTACAGATCAGCGCCCGAGGCGAATCTTGTGAAGTTTGCAAGGAGTCGGGCGGCATTACTGAAGTTAAATATAGTGCCGTTCTGGCACTTAACATTGGTCGTGTCACCGAGGCCCAGGGCGAACGGCTCAGGCGACACGTAGGCTAGATTATATCGGTGGCAAGGCTTCGGAACATGCCGTTAAACCGAGCGCCGGGATCGTGCGATAAGGCGATGTTGACTGATGCCTTCTGTAAAAAACTCCAGTGCCGGAACACCGTCGATGGTCGAGACTGGGGAAGGCGTGTAGCTATTCTGGGTATGTTTAATATTATCTATACACCGGGTCAATTTCAGCTCAGCTATCAATTCGTCTAGCGACGGGGGGCGGGGAAGTACTGTAAAGATAGATCTTGGGTATAGCGAGCGCATTATCAGAAATAGAGACGGACTGAGCGCTCATAGGAAAGTCAAACAGGTTCAGCAGCGGCGTCCAATGGCCAAGATGGAAGTCGCGCGGGCGAACGTTGGCCAACATGCGTAGGTTGGCGAGGAATTCAAGCTCATTGGCGTAACCGCCTCGTTTTTCTTCTTTGAGTTTCGCTGCAATGTCATCGAGGCCCCGAATAAGATCAACGCTCTCGGAGAGATACCCCTGAGGAGGGTCCCGGAGATACTCGACTGAGCTCTGCCATAGGCATGAAAAAACGGAGCTCAGACCGGTTCTTTGGTACTTTAATAATCCTAGTTGGTACCGAGATCGTCCATTACTCGAGAGTAGACATACCAATGCCGTTATCTGCCATCAATTTGGCGGCTTGGTCGCGGACCTGTTTGCAGCGCTCCTCGCTCCGCAAATCCAGGCCATGGTGGGCGTCCTGGTATAGGCCGGCACCAAGAGCGATTAAAGAAGATGCCGCCGTCAATACCTTGACGCGCATGATGGCAGAGTACAGTTGAGGTGACTGGTCAATGTAGCAAGACACAACTCAATGTGTGTGAGCGCATCAAGGCGAGGAGTGCCGGCATGATATGCTTGTGACGATGGGCAACATCGACGGTTCCCGTCGCAAGCGTCCCTTCTTTTCGAGGCTGTTTCGTATAGTTGGCCCATCTCCTTCGAGCTCTGGCGTTCACACCTCGGGCTGCATTCCGGGAAGTCAGCGTGTGCTTCCAAGCTGCGTTGCTATTCGACTGCGCCGCCGGTTAATATCCCCAACGGACCCTCTCCATGCATTCCCATGCTGGCTGCCCAAAGCGGCAGGTTCTGTTGCAGGAACAGAGGAGCCATCGCCGTCCTGCTGGAAGCCTTCTCAACCGCCTGCGGCTGTCCCTACTTCCAGTGGATTGCATGCTGCGACGGGCTGAAGCCCGCAGTAAGAGCGTAGTTAAGGTATTATCTCTTGGAGTAACCCTCCGGCCCCGCAGCTGTCGAACGCCTTGACAGGGAATCGAATCTTTTCGGCGAACCAGACGGATATTACTCAAATATCGCCGCCAACGAGGAGAGAACTGCGCCCTTGAGCCGGCTTGGACGGGCCCTCTCGGCGTGCCCCTAAATGAAAACCGAGCATGTTTGTGTCTGCATATGACGATACAAGTGTATACACAAAACCGTCCTTTGTCAACAACATCCCACGGCGCAGGTTCGCAACCATCCCCCCTTTATCGGTTGACTGTATCATCCATATCCCTTTAACTCCTCTCTACTCCCTCACGCTCTCCTCCTCGCCCTTGTGGGCCACTCCCAATATCCATATCCTGCATCAACATCTCCTGCGCCATCCACAGCTCAGCATACAAGCCATTCCGCTCCATCAGCTCGCGATGACTGCCCATCTCGACGACCCGCCCTTCCTTGAGCACAATAATGACATCAGCATCATAGATCGTCCTCAGCCGGTGCGCCACAAATACGCTCGTCCTCTGCTTCTCCCTGAGCACCTCATTGATATTCGCCATGAGCGCCTGCTCGGTATGCGTATCCAGCGCGCTCGTGGCCTCGTCAAAGAAGAGCAGGGGTGGGTCTTTGAGCACAAGCCGCGACACGGCCAGCCGCTGCTTCTCGCCTCCTGAAATCATCAGCCCGCGCTCGCCGACCTTGGTCTGATACCCGTGCGGCCACGACTCGATCTTGTCGTGGATATGGGCGCGGCGGGCGGCCTCGACGACCTTCTCGGGCGGCGCGTCGAGGTTGCCGTAGCGGATGTTGAGCTCGACCGTGTCATTGAAAAGCGGCGTGTCCTGGGGAACTACACCGATGGCACGGCGAAGCGAGTCGAGCGGCACGTCGCGGATGTCTTGGTCGTCGATAAAGATGCGGCCAGATTGGGGATCGTAGGAACGGAAGAGCAGGCGGAGGAGGGTCGACTTGCCGCAGCCCGAAGGGCCGACCACGGCGACCTTCTTGCCGGCGGGGATGGTCACGGAGAGGTTGTTGAGGATGGGCCGGTCGGGGTAGTAGCCGAACGAGACGTTCTCGAAGCGGATCTCGCCGCCCTTGGGCAGGACAAGCGGCGCTGCGTTGGGCTTCTCCTTGATGGAGACGTTGACCTTTTGCAGGTTGAAGAGGGTCTCCATGTCGAGGAGAGATTGGCGCAGCTCGCGGTAAACGGAGCCGAGGAAATTGAGCGGGACTGAGAGTTGGAAGACGAGCTGGTTGATCAGGACCAGGTCGCCGACTGACAATGTGCCCCCGACGATGCCCTGAGCGCCGAGCCACATCATGACCGTGAGCGCCGAGGAGAAGATTATGTTTTGGCCGCTGTTGAGGAACGCCAGCGAGGTGGCCACCTTGATGGAGCTCTTCTCATACTGCTGCAAGGCCTTGTCGTAGCGGCCGATCTCGTACTTTTCATTGTTGAAGTACTTGACGGCTTCGTAGTTGATGAGCGAGTCCACGGCGACAGTGGACGCCTTGTTGTCGGCGGCGTTGGCCTGCCGACGGAACTTTGTCCGCCATGCCGTCGTCCAGATGGTGAATGCTGTGTATGCCGTCATGGTGAGCGCTGTGATGGCAGCGAACTCCCAGCCAAACTGGTAGGTCAGGATGCCGCACACCATGCTGATTTCCAGAGCGGTCGGCACGATGTGGAACACCATGCTTGTCAGCAGGAAACTGATACCCTTGGTACCGCGGTCAATGGCGCGTGTCAAGCCACCCGTCTGCTTGGACAGGTGGAAATTGAGATCGAGATTCAGGAGGTGCCCAAACGTCCTTGTCGCGACCCGGCGAATCGCCTTTTGCGCAACCGATGAGAACACGGCATTCCGCAACTCCTGCGACACGACAGCGCCTATCCTGGCCGCGCCGTATGCAAATATCATGGTGCCCGCCACGGTTGCGACGGTGCCGCCCGTCGCGGCAATGTCGACGTTGAGGGAGTCGACAATTTCGCGAAAGTAGAAGGGCACCTGCACGTTCAAGACCTTGCCGCCGACCAGCAGAGCCACGGCTAGCAGCACGCGCATCTTGTCCCCCCAACTGTCTTTTGGCCACAGATATCGCGACATCTCTTTCATGATTGCCCAATCCGCCTTGCGCTGCTCCTGCGCGGTCTTGTCGATGGCCGCGAGCGGGTCTTGATGTGGCGGCAGGGCGGTCTTCTGACCTGTCGAGGGCGGACTCGTTCCGACGTTCGGTGTTCGCGGTCCATAGCTACGGAGGGCGGTGGTGTGGAAGACGGCGCGTAGTGAGGAGGAAGCGACGGCGCCGTTCAACCCTCCGGTTCGGGGTGTCCAGGGGTAGTGGGAGGCGCGGATGGGTCGCAGACGGAGAAAGGGCACCATCTTGGCCCGTTGTAGGCGGCCCGAGGCCATCATGAGTCTTGGGTTTGAAGACATTGTGAAGAAAGACGGGCCGACATCTTCCTCTGGCACTGGGCTACTGCGGTCTTGCAAGACAAGTCGAGTTTGGCGCGATTTGTGCGGGATTGAAACGTGGTGATTGCGGGTTTTCAGCGCATGGAGTCTCTGCCACGGAAATTAGAGGCGAACGGGTCTGATTGGTTCAGAGTGCAAAAACGTCGGTGTGGCTTGCTTTGCGAATGGTGAGCGATTTGTGCTGTCGCCGGTTGGTGTCGGGTCGGCGAAGGTGTCGAGCTTCGGAACTTCCGAGCGCTGCGATGCTCGGATCCGGCGGTGTGGGGCAGCAATGATGCAATGTGGAGTCCTAAATTCGACGACTATCGAATCATCAAACCCCAAACTCACTAACATCAACGTTATCCGTATCTTTATATCATCCTAACTCCCGATGGACCACTTTGAACAGAATTTCAAGTCTAATAAGTACATTAACGAATGTTTGCTCATCCATCCAACGGCAGATGAACAATGCTAGAAACGACACCCACCCCTAATTAACGAAAACATATATACTAAACCAACACCTCTAGCCACAAACTCCAAGCAATGCATTGGCCCGATGCTGGACCGGGCAGGGCCGCCCCAACCTTGCAAGAACGAGAGATGTGGGAAGAAACCAGGAAACCCAGGTACAGACAACATTTACCGAACAACCTAGACCAACAGACTCTTCACGCACCTTCGACAACCAATCCCTCGTACGCCCTCTCGACCGCGCGTCCCCCCATTCCAGGAAGCATCCGTAGCTGAGCGAGCGACTCGACCCTCCCCGACTCCCCGATTCCCCTAAGAGCAAGACAGTCGACCAAGTCCTGCGCCTTCTTGGGCCCAAAGCCATGGAGGCCCTTGATCCGCGCCAAATCCCGCGAGTTGACAATCTCCAGCAGCTGCCTCGTACGCGGTGATGAAGCAGGGTCGTCAAAGTCGACACCCGGATCCACATTCTTGGCTACCTTTTGAGCAGCAGCCTTGTTCCTCCTACCCTTGCCGCGAACCGGCGTCCCAATCTTCCCCTTGCCATTATCATTATCGTCTTCTTCAACATCAGCCTCCGCCTCCCGATACTCTCCATCCTCCTCCTCGTCCTCCACCCCCGTCCCACTCCTCGCTTCACTCCTCTCCTTCTTATTATTGGCCTTGTCCACTTGTCCCGCCCTCCCAAGCTTAACCCTCAACCGCTCAATCTTCCCCAGCAACTTCCTCTGTCCGGGAAACACCTCCAGGGCCCGCTCATACAACCCCAGCGCCGCCTCGTCATCCCCGCGCTCCTTGGCCTGCCGCGCCTGGAGCAGCAGGCGCAGCCCGTTTGCCCGCCGGCCACCGTCATCGTCGCTGTCCTTGTTGTTGTTGCTGCGGGATTCGTTGTCGATGCGCCGCTCAAGGGCTTCCAGACGGCGCTTGACTTCCTCGCTGATTTCGTTTTGGGTTGCATTCGCGGCGGTCGGCGTGTTGTTATTAGGTATGAGGTCTGTTGTGCACGGTTGCGCAGCGGGCGGTGCGGACACGGCTTCGGCTGCTGCGCGGGAGGCAAGGATCTCGGCTACCTTCTTTTCGACCATTGCTTCGATCTGGGAGGGCGTGATTGTGATTTGTTGCTGTGGTTGCTGTGGTTGCTGGGGTTGGGATAATAGTGTGTGTTGCGTCGGGCGGGGCACCGGGAACTGGGTCGGACGAGCGAGCTTGGATGGGCGTATGAGAGCCGTCTCCTGACCCTCGGACGGCCGCTTGATTTGGAGAGGTTGTCTCGGTTGGGAGCTGTTGGCCGCCGGGGCGATGGGGCGTGCCGCGACGGTGGGCTTCTTGTCGGTGTAGACGCTGAATGCCTTGACGGGCTTGTCTGGCTTTTCAGCCTTCTCCGCCGCCTTGGCTGCCAGCGCGCCCGTGTGAATGTTGTGGGCGCTGTTTAGCGGCCGCAGGGGTTGACGCTGGACGCTGGCACCTCCCAGACCGGAATTGGTGCGCGGAGGTTGCTTGTACACAATTTCGTTCTCGATCTCGCGCACCTCGATGCGCTTGGCGCGAGAGCTGACATTCAGGCTGCTGAGCGTATCGAGGTGGTAGCTGCGGATCGGCGCGAGGTTGAGGATCATGATGGTGATGCCGTTGTTTTGGCCGAGCGACAGGATACGAGTCATCTTGGACTCCCGGTACGGGATGCGCTTGTCACCGCGCGAGATGGCGTCGATGCACTGGCTCAGCACGAAAAGGCTCTTGTTGATGGCTGCCGACTCGACCAGCCTCTCCTTGCCATTATCGGTTCGCCGGTTGTCTTCCGAGCCGGCCAAGTCAATGGCGGACGCCGTACTCTCCTTCACTGCGTTCTCGGTTGTCTGTGTCACCTTGACACGCAAGATGGCGTGGCTTCTGCTGCTGTGGGCGTTCAGCTTGGTCGCAGCCGTGACGCGGTTATTGTTTGCTTCGATGTACAGCCTCTCGAAGTCCTTAAGGTCGTCGCATGAGCGCTCCGATAATCCGACGACGATGGTCCTCCCGTCCTTTTCACGAAGCGGAAGGCCCGCGGCTGTCCGTTTCTCTGGTGGCTCCAGCAGGTCGTAGACCTTGTCGTTGTAGATTTCGTAGTATGAGAGGGCCACGACCACTGTTGTCGAGCCATTGGTGTCCTTCATGAGCTTCTTGGCTCTGCGAAAGACGTTGCTCAGCAGCCTGGGAATCACGCCGCGCTCGGCAAGCCTCAGGCCGCCACGCATAGTGTGTGTTTTGCCGGTACCCGTGACGCCATAGGCAAAGATTGTCACATCTAAGCCCTGGAAGAGCGCCTTCACGTGGGGGGCCACTGGAGAAAGTCAGTTTCGACGGGCGAGGAACAGACGTCGAAACCAGCATACCTTCAGCGGTGAACAGGTCTTCTTGTGTTGTGGCCTGATCGTAGACGCTGTTGAAGGCAAACGAGAACTCTTCAGCCTCGTTTTTGGGGTTCGGGATCTTGACGACGGTCAATGGCTTCCCGTCGCCGACGCGGTCTGCGTGCACGATGATATCCTTGTCGAGCTCTTTTTCAAGCAGCGGACGGATTCTGGCAACCACACGCACAGACATCTCAGGTCAATCGGCCGAGAGGCGTGTATGAGAGGAAAGCAAGGGATACGGGCGGAGGGACGAAACCAACTGATGTGCGAAGCTGTGTTGCATTCAGGAATTGCGGTACAGACAGGAAAGCTAATCCCTGCACACGCGGAAGGGTCCTGTTTGTGGGAAAAAGAGCTTAATATGGGTTCTCCCCAGCAACTACTGTTACTGTACTAAGTCCTGTGGAGCCAGGGGCTGCAGCTTGAATCGGCACTTTGCCGAGCCTGGAGCTCCCGTGGCCTGTGCTTCTTCGCCCGTTCCGTCCTGAGCCGGGAATTTCGCGAACTCTGAATTTCTGGACGACCTCGGACCAAGTGAAGTTCAAAGCTCCGCGCCATTGCACCTACCACGCCACTTGGGGCCGTGCAATCATGAAACGGCACCCACCCTTGACCAGAAGGCTGCGGCCGGGAGTCTCAACATCGCCAACAATCCGGCCGGGCTTTGTCTGCTGGCAATGCCGAGCTATCCAAATCAGCGCATCCCCCACCACCGATTCGAGGCCAGCCGCCGACGTTTTCGGAGCTTACCCTGGGTCACAGAGGGACTCGGCAGGTGCGCACTGCGGCAATTCCTTCATTAGAGGCTGCGGTTCTCACAATTCACAGATGCTCGCTTTGAAGTCCTAGGCTCGCCCTACTCTCTTCTCTCGGTCACCCTCTCGGCATCGCAACGGCTGTACACAAGACGAGGGACTTTGGTATCAGTCGCCGGCAAGGTGGAAAATGTGCGCTACTGGCCCCATACGCCGCCGAAATCCTTCTGGTACTTTCGCTTACCGTTACCAGGCCCAATCCACCCTCTCCCTCCTGTCTCCCCTCCGACGAGTGCTCCTCGGCATCCCCTTCCTCTACCAGCGCATCTCCTCGACAACACCCATCACCGCCCTCATAGCCGCCAAATCCCCCAACACAACCTTCTCAGTCATCCACCTCGACGGGACAACCGACTGGGTCATCGCCCAGCGCAACGCCCTGCTCGCCTGGACGGGCCACACCCTCGCGCCGACACCTGGCGTCCAGCAAGGGCTGTCGCTCGCCCACTGGGGCAACACACACCTGTCGGGTCGCGGGCTGGTGGCGCTGGCCGCGCCGGGCCAGATCCACGAGCTCACGCTGGGCGATGGCGAGCAAATTGTCCTACACCCGTCGCACGTCGTGGCGTACTCAGTCACGCGCAACCCGCCGCTGCCGTTCCGGTTCAGGAGCACCAGGTTCAACCTGCAGGTCCCCGCAATTCCCGCGTCGATTAGCGGCCCCGCGGCACGCATGATGCCGGAGCGGGTTGCGAGGTTCTGGAATGCCATGCGGGACACGGCGACGTACAAAGCTGTGGCGAGGTTATTGTATGGCCTAAGGACGGCCGCAAGGAGGACAATATGGGGCGATCGGCTGTTCCTGCAGTTCAAGGGGCCCATGACGGTGCTCATGTCGACACGGGGCGTCAGGGTGAGGGATGTTCTCAGCAGGGAGGACGTCAATGAGATTGCCGACGCTGAGGCGGGCGTCGTGCCGGCAGCCGTTGAGCTGGCGACCAAGCCCAAGGTTTCGGAGGAACCCAGGCCTGAGCAGAAGGTAGCTATCCATGTCGCCAGCGTTGGTCAGGGCGGGAAGGTCAGCTTTGAGGATGCGAAGGACCTGAACGAGTTCGTCCGGTGATGAGCGCGAATCATGTTTGGTAGCTTGATGTCGCCGTGTATTATTTCTGTAACATTGAACGCTTACCTGTCACCCAGGCTTGTGGGAGCCTGATATCGGAACAGTTGCGGAAAATCGTCCTCGGGCAGCCCACGCCACACCTGAAGAGTACCACATCGATCGCCCCAGCGCACCTCACATGTAGCCAAGTTCTCAAAGCCAACTTAAGTCTTCGGGGTATACAGATTGTTCTACACGGGTCGAGCAGGATTCAGTTGGGTTGTCTCTCCTATCCGCTTTTTGACAAGCGCCCAACACCGTTTCATGCCCGTGCCCATGGATTCCGTTTCAATGTCCTGGGCAGAGGCCCATCGTTCTCGAGGACCTTGTTCAGGCAGCCTTTCAGCATCATCAATCTCGAACAGGTGGACGTGCATGGTCAGCTTCAGATGGGAAAACAGCCACGGCACGCTCCCAATCTCGCAGACGTGCTTGACTGCTCTTTTGTTGCGCTGAGTGGCAACCAATTCGGCAACGTAGGGCAATGCCTGTGTTCTCCGGCTCTCAGGACTGCTGTCGTTGGTAACCGGCAAGGTATGGCTGGGAAGCTCCCAGAGCCCTGCCAAGAGCCCCTTGGCGGGTCTCTGGTGGATGAGATATCGCCCGTCGGAAGCGCGTCGGATGGCGCAGACGAGTGTCTCCTCCTCCCGTACCCTTTTCTTGGGCTTTTTTAGGGGGAACTTCCTGGCATGGTTGATGATGACGGTCATCGTGCGGGCGTCAATTCCCGAGGCTGTTGTTGTTTGCCTGGGGGTCTGTGTGGTTGCAAAGAACCGGGACAATATGCCTCCGTTTCTGCTCGGCTTGCTTGCCGGCTCACTCCCTTCATCCTCGTTCTCTGCCGTCTCTTCCAAAGGCGCACACAGGGTGCAGAGATCCTCGACATCCTCCACCACCCCTTCCTTTATTCGAACACCTCCCCGGTTCGCTAGAGCAAGCCCCTCTGCATAAGCTCGACACGTCTCAGTGATCGGACATGCCGTACAATTCGGCTTGGGCATGCACACAGTACTCCCCAACTCCATCAGCGCTTGCCCCCAATGCCCCGGCCTCTCACTGACCCCGTCCCCCGCGACAGCCTTGACCAACTCCCCAGCCGCCGCCCACAACAATTCCACCACGGTCCTATCCGCTTTCACGTCCCCCAACACTCCCATCTGCCTGCTCAGCACCCTCAATACATTCCCATCCACCACCGGCGCAGCCACGCCAAACACAATAGCCGCCACCGCACCAGCGCTATACCTCCCCACGCCAGGCAAGCGCATCAACGAGTCCACATCCCCGGGCAAGACTCCTCCGTTCCCATCCCCATCCCCGTCAGCGACACAACAAACCATCCTCGCCGCCTCCCACACCCTCCTTGCGCGCGAATAATACCCCAACCCAGCCCACATCCCAACCACGTCCTCCTCTGTGGCCGCCGCCAGGTCCCAAATGGTAGGCCACCTGGCCATCCACTTCTGGTAGTACCCGACCACGGTCGCGACGCGTGTCTGCTGGAGCATGGTCTCGGAGATCCAGACCTCGTAGGCGCGGCGGGAGAGGTCGGCGCGGGAGAGGGAGGAGGGGGGGAGGAAGGGTTTGCGCCAGGGCATAGGGCGGCGGTGGTAGGCGGTTGTGGTGAACCAGGTTAGGAGGGATTGTTGGGTTTCGGGGGAGGTGAGGAGGGGTGGCGGGTGGTGGTAGGATTTGGTGTGGGTGCGGGAGGGGAGGGGGATCAGGGGGTTATGAAGGGTTGGTGAGTATTGTGATGTGGTGGTGGTGGTGGGTTGTCGTGTCTGCTTGGGGTTCTTGGGTCGGGATGGTGGTGTCTTGCGGCGTTTGGCTGGTCGGAAATTGTGGTCGGTGAAGTCTGCGTCTGAATCCGAATCCGTCTTTGGGGACAACAGCGCGTCGTCGATGGCCGACCGGGAGACGCTGTTGATCGGCACGCCATTTCGTTCCAGAGATGAACTTATTGGTGGGGTGTTGGAGCTTCTCGATGCAATGCGCGCGCTCTTCCGGGTTGTCATTTTTCTCTTCATGTTTTCGCTCACTCACAGTTCCGATGCTGGGGAAGGTGAGGTGTGTAGCCCAAGCGCTTGTTGACAATTCTGCGGTCCCCCGAGCCTTGGACCACGTGACTGACTGGCGTCGACCTCCTCGGCAAGGGGCCCGAATATCTCAACTAAAATCAAGCTCAGTGGCCCATGCTCCAGTTGCATAACATGAACCACAATGGACACTTGGAATCTCGTCGAGTCGTGACTGGTCAACTCCATTTCAAATCGGTGCATTCGACATACTTAGCCCTAACCCTGACAGGTCAAGTTATCTGCTCTTTTTGTCCACCCATAACTTGCTATCGCGGCTCGACATTTGGACGCCCACCACAACAGCCAATCCTCCCAAGCCCGTCTCCTCAATGGGACTCATGTGGGTGAATGTTGACTTTCGTAATACTGCCGCCATCGCGATAACCATCAAGCGCCTCATTGACCGCCTTCTCGTCGAGATGGCTGATAATGCGGTACCGCAGCGGGCGGATCTTGCCGGCTTCCAACCACCCTGGTAGATGCTTCCAGAATTGCTGGCCCAGTTCTCGATGCAGGTGCGCAGACCCCCTCGTGAACCTGACCTCGTACCCGGCCGCCTTGTGCCCGATCTTCGACTCGTCCACGTGTACATCACCCGGAAGAAGGGTCGCCAAGGTGCCCTTCTCGCTAGCAGAGAGCAGCGAGACGCCGAGGGTATGCGCCATGGGCCCGTTGTTGACCGTGTCAAGCGCGTAGAGCAAGCCGTCGCCGACGACTGCGCGGCATTGCTCCACCACATCTTCGGCCCGCCGGTCGAGCACGTGGGTTGCGCCGAGCTCCTTCAGCTCGGCCTCCTTCTCGGGAGTCTTGGCTGCGATCGTGATGATCTTCCCGAACCCGACCAGCCGCGCAAGCTGGACCGCCAGTTTGCCGCAGTTAGATCCGCCGCCGATGACGACCAGGCTGCGCTGCTGGTAACCGAACGACTCACTCTCCTTGGAATAAGGGGCAGGGAGGCCGAGACCCGAGGGGTGGAAGAGGGCGACGAAAGATGCCATTGCGACGGTTGGGAGCGTGGCGGCTTCGTCGAATGACATGGACTCGGGGATGGGGGCAACCAGGTCTGCCGGCACCACGGCGTATTGCTGGGCGCCGCCTCCGTCGGGCGTGCCGGCGTCTGCTTGGGCGAAGACGCGGTCGCCCCGCTTCCAGGCAGTCACATCCGACCCAACATCTTCGACCACACCAGCAATGTCGTTGCCGGTGATGTAGGGCAGATGTTCGGGAGTGATGATGATTCCGTAGTCGCGGATTTTCTGGTCATGTGGGTTCACTGCAATGAACAATCAGTCAGCTTGGTATTTGGCAACAACCCAAGCCTCGTTACTGAGCTCGAGGTACATACATCCCACTGCAATGATCTTTAGCAGTATTTGGTGCTGCTTCGGCTTGGGTATCGGCCGTGTCTGCGGCACTAACGGCGTACCAAATCTTTCGAGCACCAGAGCTTGTTGCGACATGTCGGGTTTGGGTATCGTCTCAAAATGTGCGGGCTCTGGAGGGAAACAGGGAAACTGATTGCTGCTGATGGGAATGATACTTCAGCGCAAGACGACGTTGAACAACCGACATGGTAGGATCCGAGCTGCCTTGTATCAGGGCTCTTATAATCCGTCTTTGCTATCTGGCACGTCATTTTCCGGTCGACATCGGCGTCCATGTCAGGCCGAGTTTTCGTCGATAGACTTCTTGGCTTGTGTTGTAAAGTCGCCGAGAATTACTAATTCTCTGGCTAGGTACTGTACATAGGTACCCCTCCTACCTATGAGGGAAAGGCTTAGTACAATGGGGTTTCAAAAGTATCCGGCCACCCCACATCAATGTAACGCAGTCGCGTCTCGCGTCCTCCCCTTCCTAATCTTCGAACCACCACAGTTCGACATTATGAAGCTCAATTTGGCTGATTTCGTTGCCAGTTTAACCGCCGGTCGTAGGAGTTACAGGAGCTATCTCCAGGGGCACCTGGAGCCATTTGCACCCTCGTTGCAGCTGGCCAAAGCGAACGCGCCGTCGCCCAGCTCTTTCGCGTCTCCCGCGATACTGTGACGAATCTCGAAGCCCCAACTTCTGAAAGGGGCACCTGAAGGTTATAACTTGTCATTGGGGTGAGGTTCGGTGAAGCCAAGAGGTTCACAACAAGTGCACAAGGAAATGTCTCAACAGTAGGTGTGGCTAACTGCTTATACTGCTTACTGAGGAAGCTACCGAAATGCCCGTAGGCTTAAAGATCGCAGACTATATACACCTACTTCTCCCATTGTCTTTGGGGAGCACTGGGAGCTAAGGTAGCTCCTGTCGCTCCCAGTCCGCTAGGAGCGTTCGATGCTCCCATCGCTCCCTGATGGAGCGAAGACGAGACTTCGCGCTCCCTTCATGACTGGCTATACCCATGTCCCAAGGTTGGTGAACAGAATATTATTGTCCTGGGCCTGGGGCTTTTACAATGCCTATCGTTTTTCTGCCACGACTTTGCAGTGTTAAGATATCCTGTGTTAAAGCTTAAGGTATATAATGTGGGTGGCTGGGAGAATGTGGGGTGGCCGGATACCTTTGAACCCGTGCTGTAATGTCTAGCAACCGGTCAGAGACAAAGAAATCTCTTTCATCGGACTGTCTCGGAACTCCTTTTCCTCCATAGACAATATCAGCTGCGGCTCAACAGGCTTAGGGAGCTTGGTCCGGAAGACGGTGCTCAAGAAACCAAGAGGTCGATGAGAATCGAATGCTAAAACCATTGAAACCATACACATCAAGCCCCAATGCCACAAATATCTAAGGTAACCGCCGGCTCTAGCCACATCAACCAGGACCCATGAAAGTTGCCTCGAGTGGGCGGGGTCCAATGCATTCCAATATTCCATGCATGTTCCACGCCGTGTCACAGACCCGGTGCACTCGTAATTCTCTCGATGTCGATGTAGCGGCTCTGGACATGGCGTTATAACAAGGGCCGACAGCAAGAATCCGGCGGCGATCTCGTGCTTGTACCATGCCCATTTGGCAAAGGCGGATGGATCTTGAAGATTGGTTGGTTGGAACATCCGGCATCAATATCAGGTCGGGTATTTCTCCGAGCCTAATCTACGGCTTGGCTGCCAACCCGGCGATGGATATATTGTCAAGAGGGGAACCTCCTGCAAGGGGAGTAATGTACATGCCGCTGATCAGGTCAATGTCGGGTGGTCATCAAGCTATAAGGATGGTGTTTCCGCTACCCCAGCCATACTGTTTAGGCGATCCGCGGCATGCTCACCATGTCGTACACCATGACCAAAACGATGCGCGTCTCGATAGGCTTTCTCTTGTTCCTCCCAGCCCTGGCTCTCGCCGCACCGCAAGCTATCGATTACGGCCCCTGCGACTACAACGGCAATGAGAACTGCAAAGAAATCATGGACAACACGGCCTGCTTTCTGAATCCCCAGGGGGCAGACGAGATCTTTAAGTGCATCTCGGGCGGCAGGGACGGGGTAAGTTGATCCATTTTGGCGCATTCCATGCAACCGGACGACCCTGAACCCACCTCCAGGTCTGCGCATGCTACGGGTGTCTCGGCTACACGCCCGTCGGCGAAGTCATTTCGAAGTCGAGTGCCTGCGCGTAAGTTCCAGGGGGAGAAAGCATTATGAACCGGGGCGAGGCAAACATAACTGACTATTTACTGGTTCGCGTATGAAAAGCGGTTTTCCCACCTCGTCTCCCTTGAAGCTCGGAGAGACGCCCACCGTCACGGTGGCACCGACACCAACACCAATGCCCAAGTATCGTTGGAAAGTGTGGGATGGACAAGACGGGATTTAGGGGCAGATGGACAAATACGGATCGAGGATAAGGGGCAATCAAGCTCGGGAAAGAGTGACATGGAAATACGCTGGAATATGTCGTTCATGGGCAGGCCTCACCAAGAAAGCAGGAAGGTCAAATCGGCACTTTCGGTACCACATGAGTACGTCTGCAGGAACTACCATTGTCCATCCGGTCACATAAGAATACCCCCAAATGTATTGTACGACTGCGCTGCGCGAGCCATCTGGAGAACTCCATACCAACACGATGGGAGATGTGACCGAAAGCTTACAGGAACTCCCCAGCTTCTGGTCACTGATTACCTATGATAAATGACTAAAATGGATTGTTCGCCGCGCTGCCAACTGAAGATTCGACCCTCGTATCTGTCATGCTCCGCCGGGGCAGGGGCAGCCCGGAATCTTGTATCTTGGAGTTTGTGCCGATCCCTCATCATCTTTTTTGTTGGGCGGGAGGCCGGATCCCATGACCCTTGTCCCACATGAAAGCAGCCTCTGTCCAATCAATAACGTCGGCGCCTCTCTTTTCCAAGCGGTCCTCGACCTCGCGCTCAATATCTTCCGCCGTCTTGTCGCCGTCGTCGTAGGTCGAGTGTGCTCCCGACAACAGCGTGACCCCGAACCCGGCATCAATGGCGCCATTGCACGTCGACTCGACACAGCACTCGCTCTGGATGCCGAAGGCGATGATGTGGTTGATGCCTGCCGCCTTGAGCTCAGCCGCGAGATCCGGGTTCGATGCGAAGGTGTCTCCTAACCGTTTGTTAGTCAACTGAACATCTCACTGTCGGCAGAATTGGCTGCATCGATCAGGTAAGCTACGGGCAAGTTGGCAACTCACGCGTCGTCTTGTGAATCAGGCGCTCCCGAGATTCGCCCGCGCGGGGCTCAAACACCAGCTTCCATGGCTCACTGCCTCGAACCAGCGGGCCATCTTCGGGCTTTTCTTCGTGCTGCACAAAAACGATGCTGGCGAGAGGGGGTTTGGTGCTGCCAGTTTCCGTCTCCATATATGCGCGAGCCGTTTTGAGGATGAATTCGCCAGCGGCTGTGACTCGCTCTGCATGAGGCACACAGGTTTCTGGGTCGATCGCTAGGTCGTTTTGTATGTCGATTACAAAGAGTGCCGCCGCCATGGTGCTCCTGTTGCTGCTGTAATACACCTGAAGGGAGGACTGAGGGAAGAGGAATTGGTGGTTCTGCACGGTGGTCGAGATCTCAACCAAATCAGATATACCTGATCAAATCAAGCCAAACCAAACCAATCCAAGACAAACAGCCGCTCACTCTCTCAAGCAAATACGCTCTCTTCGATTTGTTTGGTCCTTGCCGGTGAGTCACTCAGGGCTTGTGAGATTGAGAGTTTGAGCGGGAGTGGGGAAGGCGAGAGAGAAAGAAGCTCCGTCTTGGCGACAGTCCTCCGCTTTTGAACACGACAACAAACACGATGTTTGGAAAGGTTGGCGACATGTTCGGCGCTGATTTTGTTCAAATTGACAAAAGTGGAGGAACCTTCCCGTCATCAATCAAGCCAGACATCAGCAATTGGATGAGGGCACTGCTCGGGGTGTGCAAAATCAACCAGTGATTCCGGTCAATTCAAGTCCCTGGGCCTTGGGAGGTTCGACAGCACTTCACCAACTGGTAACCTTCCATTTGCATCAACTCTCCACGATAGATCGAATTCATGTCGTCGCACATCCCGGGCAATTTGAATCACTGTTTGACAGTCTCGACCACCTTGAGTGGAGCCATGCTCGGTGGCGACTGCAGCGAAGACCAACCTCTCGGGCCCAAAATACCGAAGGCACACCCCGCAATACCCGCACGGGTGGGCTCCGGATGCGAGATCGGTGCTCTGTGGCTGGCAACTACGACGTATAATCCATCATATTAATTTTGAGTGTTCGTCATCTTGGATTCCTGTATGGCCCTGCATTCATTTTGTATTGACACCACTCCCTGCATCATTTCCTGTCAGCCCCTTGGCTTCAAGTTCATCACTGACACTGCCCCACCTACTCTGCTCAATCCTATCCGACCAGTCTTAAACCAGAGCATTCCTCTTCGCCCTCCTAGGCAAACAAGGCGACCAGAATGTCATCAACAACCCTCATCCCACCAAAGGGTGTCTTCGTCCCGTCGCCCACCTTCTTCGACCTCGCCGCCTCCTCCCTAAAGGGATCCCTCCAACCACCCGTCGACACCGAAACCCAAATCAACCACAGCATTTTCCTCGCCCAGGCCGGCATCACAGGCATCACGTTGCTCGGCTCGACGGGCGAAGCCGTGCACCTTACCCGCGGTGAACGTAGACATCTAGTGTCGACCGTGCGTAAGGGCCTCGACAAGGCCGGCTACCCGGACTACCCGCTCATGGCGGGCGTGCTGACCAACGGCGAGCTGGAGGAAACGCTGCAGTGGCTCGACGACTACCACAAGGCCGGCGCCCAGTGGGGACTGGTGCTCACGCCGGGGTACTTTGGGCCCGCCGTGTCGCAGGAGGGGTTGATTGAGTGGTACAAGATCGTGGCGGATCGCAGCCCCATTCCGATACTGGTGTATAACTACCCTGGTGTCACGAATGGAGTGCAGGTCCTGCCGGAGACGTACCGGGTACTGGCGCAGCATCCTCGGATTGTCGGGTGCAAGATGTGAGTGACTGTGGAATTTGAGGGACGAGCAGTTGGGCATAAGCGGAGAGGAGCTTACACGGAAACAACAGGTCGCACGGAAACGTCTCACACCACGTGCAGGTATCGCTCGACCCGGCCATCGACCACGACAAGTTCCGGGTGTACAGTGGCTTCGGCAACCAGCTCGGTCCGATCGTGGCGTTTGGCGCGGCCGGTGTCATCGACGGCATGGCGGCCTTCTATCCCAAGACGGTGGTCCGGTTGAACGAGCTGATGCAGAAGGGAGGGTTCAACCCCGAGGAGCGAGCCGAGATCCACCGGTTGCAGTTTGCCGTTAGCCAGGGCGAAGAATTCGTCATGCGGTATGGCGTACTGGGTATCAGGGAAGCTGTGTGCCGCGTGGCTGGGTTTGGCAATCTCGAGGGCGGCCGGCTGCCACTCCGGGGGAAGCTGCCGGAAGGGGCATGGGATAAGGCGAAGGGGTTGTTCTTGGAGGAGATCCAGAAGCTGGAATCCTCGCTTTAAACTGGATATGCGTATGCTTACTTGGCAGCCCTAGAAAATATCAATTCTCCAAAAATCTCTCATTATCGGCAAGCAACTCGATCTCCACGTCTTTCCACGGAAGCAAGTCCGATTCTCGCGCACCCTACCCATCATCTGCCTTGCCTCGATGCTCTTACAGTCGCAGTCACCTCTCCTGCTCGAGTGAGCAAGCTCACAGTCATGGAAGCGGGTGCTTGTTGGCTCCTCCACAACAAACCAACAGAGCTGGAAGTACAAGTTTCCGATTGCTTTGCGGCATGAGTCGTTCCTGAGAGGTTGTGTTAGGATCCTTCTCTCCCTTGTCGTTCAGTAACTGCGAAAACTAGCCACTTCCAGCAGTTCAAAGCTTATGTTGTCCTTAGGGTCGGAGGTCTGGATGAGCAAAAGTCACTCGTCGGACCTTTAAAATCACCGATCTGATCAGCCGCCTCGGGGCTATCCCGACTAGGAATTGGAAAATCAGCGCGGACAGGTTTGTTGCGCTTGCCTGCTTGATTCGGCGTCTGCATATGTGGATAGATGCGTCACGGCTTTTCCTGGTCATTGTCCTTCTGAGTCTTTTCCACAAACTGGGATTTCGGACCATTGAGTGCAAACTGCATCATCTGGATTGTGTTGTGCAGATGTATCGCATCTCGGTCATCGAGTCACAGGCCCCAGCTCCCCTTTTCACTTGCTTGCAGAGGCTCAAGCTTCTGCTCTCGCCCTTCTTTAGTCGGGTTTGCTGGTTTACACTGCTTTCATTTGAGGTATCATTTGAGTGTCAATCCGAGAGAGTCAGATAGCAAACAGCACCTGGCAAACCTGCCATTACGGTCCCTTGTAGGGTTTCAGTAGATGAGATGGATATAAAGAGTGCTCCATTATCCCTGTTGAGAGTGATATATTGAGTAGTTATGCAGAACCAGTAGTCTATGTGATCCAACATGGGCATCAACAGGTATGTTGACACCCCCACAAGTCAATATCAGCCAACAACGGTTAGTTATATTGTAGACTGGAAACATCTCAATACAGCCTATTCCTAAGCTGTTCGTACTGTCAAGCTTGGAAAGCTGGTTTTAAAGACTATATTAAACTTACATCCACCCCTGTTTCATGACTTTGTTTTTCTAGTATCGTTATAGAGTCGGGCTGTTGTTCTGACACAGCATCTGTTGGGAAACTCAGACATATACAAGGAGTGGCCAGTCATGTGGCGAGGAGGACGAGATATATGGAGAATAGAATCTTACATACTAATTCTGAGATAACAGTCAAATGCGGTTGGGCAAGTACTCCATATGACAGCGCTTCGTGCCGTAGCGGGAAGATATAGGTATAGTGCCACGGGTGGGAGCAACTGACCACTGCGTAACACCCTCAAAAGAGGGACCGTGGTTCGAACTGTCCAGTCGAACCAGGAGTTGCGCACATGAACCACACACTGTCACTACCCGTGACATATAGACGATAATCGTTACTATCAACAACTATCGCCATAGCAACGATTCACATGACGGCGACTATGATATGAGAGGAAGAGCACGAGACAGCAACACGGAGAAATGTGGTCCCGTCTTAATGGGCATGTATGAGCTCTCAGGTTCTATTCTTGCACGGGCCGTCGTGCCTCGGCATTTGACATTAGGACGGTGTCCTCGCCAGGGAGGAATCGAGGACTATGAAGGTCGGCTCGACCTGTACATACTGTGAGACGACCGTATCTACCTCACTGTAGACTTGCCACTACTCTGGAAGCTTAACCAGCAGGAGTCGTTTCAACACCCATGTATCCGCTTTGTTTCGATAAACCGACCCTCCGAGAGCAGTAGGTCAACCGTTGGATTTGGCACTTATACCTGTAATCAGGCTGCAACTAACCATTAGCCACTAGGGTCCTTGGGGATATCAGAGATTTGGTTCAAAGGTACGTCGGCGTGCAGGCAAAGCCCTAGGTACCTTAAGGGACGAGAGAGACACATTTCGGAAACAAGTTTGTACCCGCTGTCCTGAAGAACGAGACTCGCAATTTGGTGATGACTAATGACTTTTACGAGTCCAGAGCCCAACTTCTAAGCCGCCTCGGGCTTTCCTCTAACCCCGAATCCCCGACTGGTTAAGCGCAATGCTTCTTATTACAGTACCTATCCAATTCCCATCTCCAGCCCTTGCCTTCAGCTGGCACCGGTCTCTTTTCTCCCGCACCTGTATCTGCCGTAACCCTCCCTCTCTGTTTGCAAACCCAACATCATTCATTCAATTTCAGCAGGTCTTCCGACCTGACTCGAGGTCAATCTTGGGTACTTATTAGGCTTTTTACGGCCGGAACTACCTAAGGCGCAAATGTCACCACCGTCACCAGCCGGCCTGACGGCCACAGCCTCCTCCGAAAAGATCACCCTCACCGGCGCGCAAGAGACCCTCCTCGCGACGCTCTACGGCCGGGCCCTAGACGCGACGGCCAAGCCCAAGCCCGTGCTCGGCGACCGGTGGGCCGCCGACACGGTCCGCCGCATCAATTACGACTTTGCCGGCCGGACTGGCATCGGCGCGGCCGAGGCCGCCAGCGTGGCGCTGCGTGCACGCGCCCTCGACCGCTGGACCGCCGACTTCCTTGCGCGGCACCGCGCCGTCACCGTGGTGCATCTCGCGTGCGGGCTCGACGCGCGCTGCCTACGCGTCGGGCAGGCCGCTGCCGCTGCCGCCGGGCACGACGTTAGATGGATAGACGTTGACCTGGAGGATGTGGTGGAGCTGCGGAGGAAGCTTTTCGCGGGGGTCATCGAAGAGGGCGGAGACGGCCAGGGCGGCGGCTTGGACTATGCGCTCGTGGCGGGGTCGGCGGCGGAGCCGGACGCGTGGCTCGGCCGGATCCCTGCCGACCGGCCGACGCTGGTTGTGTTCGAGGGGCTCACCATGTATCTGCGCGAGGGGGAGGGCCGGCGGCTGTTCGAGAGCATCGTGCGGCGCTTTCGGCCGGTAGGCGGGGAGATCGCGTGCGACGCGTTCGGCACCGTCGCGATCAGGCTGCAGGGGCTCATCAAGGCTGTCAAGGACTCGGGCTCGGTGCTGCACTGGGCCATTGATGACCCCAAGCTGCTTGAGACGTGGTGCGACGGGTTGAGGTTGGTTGAAGACCAGCTGACTATCGAGATGCCCGGCATCGAGGAGCTCCCGCTGGTCTCCCGGATGCAGGCATGGGCTGTGGCTTGGATACCGTACCTGAGGGAGGCCGGACGGCTGCTCCGGTACGAATTTTGAGACTTTAGGTGTCCAATTCTGCAGCTACCAGGTCTATCTCGAAAGTGCAAGATGAAGCTGGTATGTTTGACGAGTAGAATTTTGGAACTTGAGCAGTGGCATTATACCCCATCCAGTCCAAACTGCTACGTCCACTCATGATATTTGCCGATCTCGTCCGCAGCGACCGACGGCTTGACATTCTTCATGACGACAAACAAATTATCGGCCGTCAGCGCCGGCTCCTTAGCCTTTTCGGGGGCACCTTCTTCCATGTCATCGCGATGGCGCCGGGTTCGCCGCCTTCACAGGGGGCGTAGTACTCGGAGCCGGCGTGTCGGATCTGTTGCAGTGCTAGTTAGAGCTCAGGGACTAGGCAGTGGAGATGGGGCACACAACACCAAACCTTTCTGAAATGCGTCCCCATCTGGACCTTCTTGACAGGCACCATGAGGCCATCCTGGATGGCGTTCGCAATATCACTGCCCGAGTGCTCGCGAGACAAGACGGAAGACCTCATTCAACAATGTAGAAGGTTGTCCTATAACAATCGCGCCAACCTCGCACTTTCTCGCCGAATTAACGAAGACCAAGCAGTTGATATCGGTGAGCTTACACGTGGCGGTGCTCAGCAGGTTTCGCAGTATAGACTTAGCATGCATTATCAGTGAGTGGCCCACCTTAACCATTTTTCAAAGCTGAATAACTTACTAAAATATAATAAAAATTCAATAAGAGTGCTAACTTAACAATGTCTTATTATACATTCGGGATGCAGCCCAGCTGAAATTATCAAGGTCGGCCATTCACTGATATACGCTAGACGTGTAGAGCGTAACTCCAACCCCGGAGGATGCAACTGAATTGCGGGAGCATCGGTAGCCGTCGCAGACTGTTTGATGAAAGCTGTCCTTCTTCCTCGCCTGATCAATATCTTATATACCGCTACGCTTACCCAGGACCTCTTCATCTGCCTGCTGATGTTTGGGACGGCTTGGAACTCTTGACAATGACATGGTGCAAAAATAGTATATTTCCGCCCTCTAGACCTAGGGGCAAGAGTCAAGTTCCAATCAGATGTCGCTCACCTCCAGCTCTCACTTACTCAAATAGTTCTAGACACTGCTTAACAATCAAAATTCAAGAGAATGACATTGTCCCTGCACTACCAATTATAGCCAAAACAACGGTCAGTGGGCATGGGCCAGCCAACTTGAAGTGTATTCTGTATCCAGCTAACCGACAGACCAGCTGCCATTCTGGGCTGTACCAAGTCTAACCAATCGCCCACTCCTCCAACTTTCCAAAACACGACAGCATCGCACCAGTTCCGACCAAGTGCTACTGCTTGCCACGCGAGCCAGAACGGGAACCAGGACGGGAGCCCGGCGGGCTCGGAGAGGCCCTCTTGGGGCCGATGAGGTTGGCGGCGCGCAGGGCAGGAATGGCCTGCTCTTCGGTTCACTCGGTGCACTTCCTCAGCGGCTTCCGGGTCTCCCCGGGACCGTAAAAGGTCAGCGGAGTTTTGATTTTGAATGGCTCCATCTTCATGGTCTTGACGTTGAAAGACTTCTGCTGCGGCGGGGGTGGGCAGGCCCTGAAAACATTGTCGAACTTTGCTTTGAAGTTCGCGGCGTCGGTGTAGCCGAGCAGCTCCGAGGAGTGGAGAGTTGCAGAGTTCTTGGGGTCGTGGTAAGCAACGGACTGGTACACCATGCCGTTGGCTGAGGTAATGTCCCCAGTAACGTGGAACTTGATGCCGGAGCCATTTTGGGGATTCGACTCGACAAAAATAAGATGGTGATAGCGCGGCTGGGGCATGTCCGGGTCCTGCATGGAGAGTCTGAACTTGAGCTTGAACACCTTGTACTGCGACGGTGCGGTTGAGGCGGACATGGTGAACGTGTTTTTGGTGCTGGGTCTTGACGAGAATGTAGCTCAAGTGAAGAGAAAATGATCTTTCTGCGTGTGTTTGTAGGACAAGTGTTGAAGGCCTGAGTGCTGTTGTGTGCCCATCGTCCTGTTGCATATAGATGTCGCGAGCTTATATGCGAACAACTTGCACTTCAACAAGGACATTTACACCTCGCTCACCCATGAGGTATTCTCAGATCGAGGCCCCAAACTCGAAACCCAACGTTAATACAACAACCTCATTTCTAGGCCTGGCAGCCATATACGTATAAGGCACTACAAAGAATTTGGAGGCACAGGTGCACACCTTTGATCCACTTACGAGCCATTCTCAATTGATGCGCTGACTCTGAAACCCAAGGTCCCTACGTACATCAACCACATCCGGAACACTAATGACCACGCACGTACTCAGGGCGTTGCAGGTTGTTGGAGGCACAGGTACCTGGGGGTTCAAACTTGGCCAATCGCATGACCCGGAAACGACTCGGACTAAAGGCTTCAGTCCTGTCGTTTCACCATACTTGGTACAGCAGAAGCCAGGTTCAGTAGGGTTGCTAGGGTTACCAACCACCGCAAACGTGTCCGACCCAGTCTTCAACCTGCAACTGAATATGTTCGAGGGGTGCCCGCTCCACTGCCGAGCTGTCCCCAACAAGCATCAATTTACACAGCAATCAATGATCGCGACCAATCTGCGACAACGTCAATAATTCCAGGTTACGCGCGCCTAGACAGAATCACCATGCCGGCCGTCACCCCGCCAACGCTCCCGTTTTTCTGTGATCCAAGCGAGTTGCCTGCTCCGCTCCCGACCCTGGACGAGATTGTTGCAGCCGACCAGACCTTCCCAGATATCTCCGACAACACATACCAACGGGTCGCCCGTGTCAAGGACAAATTCATCGTCAAGTATGGTGTGTCACCCTGGGTGTCTGAAAACGAAGGCCATGCGCTCTTGCTGCTCGCCAAGTACCCCTCCATTCCGGTACCGCGACTCTACGCCATGCACCGCAAGGGCGACAGACTCTTCTTGATCATGGAATTCAAGGAAGGCATGCAGCTCAGCACCGTTTGGGGTGGTCTTTCGGAGCACGACAAGCTTGACATCATTGGCCAGCTGCGAGCCATTTTCACCCAGGTGCGCCAGATCCCTTCCCCCGGGATCTTTAGCAACGTCATCGGCGGGCCCTTACGGCATCGCTTCTTCTTGTCGGTCGAGCCAACGCCCGAGATCAACGGACCCTTTCAACACGAGAGGGATTTCTCCATGGCTATGGCGAGGCGGTCGCGGAAAACCTGGGAATCGAACGGGTACAAGCCCTGGACGTCCGAGTTTCTCGAGCGCCATCTCCCTACGGCCCTAGCCGGTCACCTCAGCGTGTTCACGCATGACGATCTGCAGCGCAAGAATATTCTAGTCGCCAGGAACGTTGCCTCAGCAGACAGTGCAAACCCAGGCGAGAGCGGGAGCAAATGGCGTGTTACGGCTGTTATAGATTGGGAGAATGCTGGGTGGTACCCGAGCTACTGGGAGTATGCTGCCAGGTTTGTCGAATTCGTCTGGGATGACGACTGGCCCGAGAAATTTGAGGGGATTGTTGACCCTTGCCCCCTTGAGGCTGGGTTACTGAGGTTTGTGCGGCAAGATCTGGATTATTGATGGGTACAATGAGATGCCCTCCTCCTAGACTAGCATGATATTATATAGCAGCTACGATTCAGAGCTGTGATCGAAACCTACTACTACCATCGTTTGGGCGCTCAAATAATGCTGCAATATTTGTATGATCATAGTTAACTTGCTCACTTCTCGAATGGGGCCCCAGTGGTTTAAAGATCCTGCACCTCGCTGCCGCGAGTTCTGTTCGTAGCTCCTCGAGCTACGTCTTGACAATCAAGCTTGCCCGTACCTGACGGAATAGAGCCCAGACTGTAGCTTAGCCCAAATACAATTGTCATTGGACTATCAGCCTGTCCCGCCCGTGACAAAGTGCATGTAGACGCATGAGAAGGCCCATCCCATGTGGGTCCTGGCAGGCGCGGCGCAATTGCCGTGACACACTTGAAGAAAATTCGACCACCTGGCAGACGGAATAGCGGAACCGGGTGCCAACAACGGTTTGTTAAAGCCGGGCGAGCCCGATTGTCAGACCGACATTGTCGATGAGGTGGAGAACAGGGAAAACGATGGTGGGGGGCATTGCTCACCAGAATGCAAGCGTCGCATCGGACAGACTTGTGGATATGACTATCTATATACCTGGATTTCCCTTCAGCCTTTCTTTCCTTATCTCATCCTCGGTTCCATTCCCGCCCTCGGCGTTCTCGCCATTCGCAGGCGGCTCCCGTCCTCCCAGACTATGTACCACATGCTGCAATGCACAGTGGCAAGACGAGGGAGCCTCTCGTTCTATCTGAGAACGGAAGCACCATCCGAATGAGTGATCGTCAGACATCAGAGCAGTCCGAGCAATGATGAAGTCCGCAACGGCGATAGGGAGACCGGATCCAAACGCGGGACAATGGCGAAGGTTGGATCAATCATAGTAGGGGGACTCTGCTAACATTATACCGCCTCAGCCAGCAGATCCCGCTTTAGCTAGGACGCTGAACACATGGAGAACGCAGCCTCCAAGGGATTTTCTAAGAACCAAGTCAAGAGGCAACAGGTGGTGTGAGAAAAGGAGAAAAGAGTAGAGGGACTGGACGGGTTGATGACCCAACAGCAACGAATCGGGTGTTATTAGTATGCCAAGGCCCTTCAGGTCTCGTGCCTCCAGGCCAAATTAATTCCATCTATCCATACATCCACCAGCATTACTGAATCAGCTGATTAACCGTCAATAAGGCCTTGTGTGGCAGGGGCTGTAGCTATAGTTAGATTGTGTCACGGGTGGGCGCAACTGACCACTGCGTAACACCCTCAAAAGAGGGACCGTGGTTCGAACTGTCCAGTCGAACCAGGAGTTGCGCACATGAACCTCACACTGTCACGACCCGTGACAGATTGGCCGAATACCTCTGGACGGCTATCCTTAGCAACATTGTCCTTCTAGAGGCGTGAATGCATGCACAACGGTGATTTTCGCTGCTAAGTAGAAAGCCTTCCGGCAAACTACAATAGAAATCTTTCCCGTGAATCAGAAATACATACACTGTAACGTGCATTATCAGTGAGTGGCCTATATCAGTAAGTAGCGTATATCAGTGAGTAGACTTAGTGATCCCCTTACCAATGTTCCCGGCTGTCATACGCCATCGTGCTAAAGCAGGGGGACAAGATCCAGACGCCAAAACTGCAGACTCTCGTGCTCACTGACCTGTCAGACAGCGATGTGATGTGTTATTTCATAGGCGGGGCGGTCATTTGCGGGTCATCCGGCGGATCACCCACCAAAACTGCCCTGAGATAACACATCGTTATGGTTTTGTTATAAGACTGATTATGAACGTACATGAGGCAACTGCCCGGTTTCTATACACATGTATCCCGACTAACTTGATACCCCACATGTTCCAAGTGCTTCGCAACCAAACCAACATGCCTGCCTGCCTTCATCTATCCCGGAATAGCCCCGTACGATTCATAAGAGACGAAGGAGAAAGGGATGGACAGGACAACGAAAGTAACGCCTCGAGAAACTCATGGCGGGAATGAGGCAAGAGTGCATCCAGCCCTGAGCCTCCTCACTCAGCTTCCTGCTGTCCCCGGCCCTGGCCCTTGACCCTGCGGCTGCCCATGATACCCAACCTCAGCTTGAGCCTGAGCCTGCTGTTGTCGCTGTTTCTGGCCTTGCCCTTGACCCTGTCGCTGACGACGAACAGGCCCGTATAAGCTCCCATGATAATTGACAACACCACCCTCCAGCAAAATCCGGGTTGTGTCCCCCCACGACGCATACCCCGGGTACGTGGTCATCGTCCCCGCCGACCGCATGACGGGCAGCGAGCCCTGCCGCACGTTGTTGTATCCCGACTGGTGCTGGGCTAGGCCGAACGCCGTCAGGATGGCCGTTTTTGGGTCCATGTCGTCTGGCTGGACATCTCGTTCGGCTGCGACGCTCCGGCCCAGGCCCGCGTCGACAACTACGCGCCTGCGCTGATCGACGGCCCGCCGACCGAAGTGAAGACCGAGAGGGAGAGACTATTCCAATCCAACGTCGGTGTTAGCACCCCGCCCCGGCCTACCAGGAGCGAGCTCCACCGGGCGCGATGGCAGGTCAAGGAGAACGGGGCCACCAAAGTCGGCATCCCGCCGATTTTCCGCGTTGCTGCGCTGGTACAGACCAACGAAAGGGCCCCTCTGCGCTGCTCGCTGAGGCTCGAGGACTTAAGTGGGAGAAGGAGGTTGCTCGGCATACCATGGAGTTCTGAGAGCCCGCTCGTCGTGAAGCCAACCGCGTCGGTTGGCCGTGCTCTGAATGTCGAGAATTTCGAAGACATGCAGGACCGGAATTGGGAGGATGTGCTTCGGATATCGTATGCTGTCGCGGCGAGTCAATGACCCAGCCAACGAGCCTGTTGTCAGCACGATGCTCACGTCTTACAGGTGCTACACCTGACCAGGGATACGCGGCCATGCCACGCACGTCCGCTGGAAGAGATGGTGTAGAGTGCTGCAAACGAGGCAGCGCAACCCGTGAGCGTCGGGGACCCTGCACTTGCTTGATGAGATCAGCTACTTTCGACGTTAACAACAATCTTCCCCTTTGCCCTGCCGGTCGCAAGTTTCTCGAATGCCTGTGAACGTTAGCAAGAAACCCGATGCCTGTCAGGGTGAGAAACATACCTCGATTGCCTGTTCCATGGGGAACTCCGAGTCAATGAGGGCCCCCTTAATCACCCCCTTCTCGACCCACGCGGCAACCTCCCTAGCAGCCTTCCCCGATGCGCTGAGGAGGAATAGTTCGTAATTTCGAGGTGTACCCCCAAGGGAAAGAGGCCGCAGTTTGTTCCTAATAAAGGGTATAACCCCCTGTGACCAGCCGCCCACAATGTTGATGAACTTGCCGTGCGTTTTGAGGTATCGCGGCGAGTTAGTGTACAACGCCTGGCTGCCGACACAGTCAAATATTGCGTCAAGCTGTCCCCCTCTGAACACGTCGGCCAGGTGCTCCTCCAGCGGCTCATGAGCCCGGTAGTCTATGACCTGTTACTGTCAGCTCTTCCCGCCACTGAAATCCCCCTTCAAACTCCCAAACGCACCTCAGTCGCCCCCAACGCCTTCACCAACTCTTCATTCTCCCCCGAGCAAACCGCCACCACCTGCGCGCCAAGGCCCCGACAAATCTGCACCAGCACCGACCCAACCCCCCCAGTCGCCCCATTAACCAACACCCACCCTCCGCCCCTGCTCCCACGGGGACTCGCCACACTCCTAGCCATAACAGCAGCAGTCTGGCCCGAAATCCCCATCAGGCCCGCCGCCGTCTTGGGACCCCATTTGGCAGGCACCTTGGCGACCAGCGAACTCTCGACGACAACAAACTCAGCCAGCGTCCCCTTTCCCCGCGCAACATCCCACAGTCCCAGCGCACCGCACACCTTATCCCCTTCTTTCAATTCCATCTCAGCGGGGACGGCATCGCCGACGGCGACAATCTCACCCGCGAAATCCATGCCTGGCACGGGGTTGCGCCGAAAGGGGAGCCAGGGCGGTAAGCTCTTCAGCAGGACGAGATCCGCTGGGTTGAGAGACACGTGTGATATCTTGAGGAGGAAGGATTTTGAGTTGCACGGGAGGGAGGGGATCGGGGCGGAAAAGTCGAGGATAAGGGACTGGCGCGGGGTGCCCCAGGAAGTGGCCGTCCAGGACTTCATCGTTGTCTTTTAGTTATCTCCGTTGTTTTTGTCACCGTGTCTGCTGTTGCGGGAAGGGAGGGTTGCTCCTAATCCGTTGGTTTCCGGATTGCTGTGAACGGTAATATGCTGACGAGGAAAAGGAAATCGGACGGCCCAATTCGTGGGGTGATAATGAACTTGGGGGGGCAGTGTGTGCATGTTGTTGAGTTATGTACCACTGAGCCCGGTGAACGGTGAATTCGGCTTGAGCGGATTGGATGACCCCCATTTCCCGTCAGGGGTCTTCGGGCTCCAAGTGACGCCCGAACGGGTTTAGTCTTCTCGCCCATGGATTGAACAGCAAAGGTCATGAACATGCCTAGGATATGATGAATATAACGTTGATTGAATTCCAAAATACAGTACCGTACACTCCAACAGCCTGACACCAGGACCACCGGGTGTGCCCAACCAAGCCAGTATTCCAAAACCAACGCCGCCACCGGCCATCCCGATATTGTTGGCCTTGCCGAAATCCTCGAAGGCGACCGAGTGGTGGTTTTCATGGCCGTCGAGGACAAGCAGCCGGTATATCCCTTTCGTCCGACGCCGGGTGGAATGATCAAAATGCTTTAACCGAACCAGACCAATCTCGTTTGTAGTCCAGCCATTCTCGCTCGTGGACTCTCCATTCGGGCTGGAATCGGCTGTCCTGGTACCAGGGGAGGAGGTGGTTCTTTTCCTTGACGACGAAGTACGGCGGCAAGACCCAACCATCCGCACACATGGCTAGGATACCGGAAGGCCAGGTTTTCGAGAGGAGTAGGAATGCTGTGTTGCATAGCGAGGAGAATCTCAAGACTGTTGTGGCGGACGTGTTGGACTGGCTCGCGCGACCGGACAACAGCGACTGGCTCCTTATCTTCGACAACGTTGACCAAGACATCGATCAGGGCAGCGAGACGGGCGCCTACGATGTCCGGCGGTATCTGCCCGGCGACCATGAGTCGGTGCTGATCACGACACGACTGTCGCGGCTGGCGCTGTTAGGTGAGTCGACGCGGCTAGAGGGGTCGACGAAAGAACTGGCCAAGGCTATTTTCCAGCAGTGGTGGGGCAGAAGGAGGTGAGGATTCCGTTGCATATGAGTTCGGCCTGGTGCTGATAGAACATAGCTATGGACGAGGCAAGTAGGGAGCTGCTCGGTCTGCTCGACGGCCTTCCGCTCGCGCTGGCACAGGCTGCCTCATATGTCCGCGAGACCGGGCTCGATACCGCGTCGTATGTTCGGCTCTACAAGCAGCAGTGGGACGATCTGATGGGATTGGATGGGGAGTGGGGCTCGCCGCTGGTGGACTACGAACAGGGAAGCGTCGCGACAACGTGGACCGTATCGTTCAAGGCGGTTGAGGCGCAAACCAAGAACGCCGCGAACCTGCTCCGTCTCTGGGCCTTGTCGACGGCAGAGACCTTTGGCACGGCCTGCTGCAGGCGGCTGTCGATGGCGGAGAGCAGTGGCCTGGATGGCTGTGTGACGTCGCAGGCAACGAGGTCCGGTACCTGGACGCGGTTCGACTGCTTCTCCGGTACTCGATGATCGAGTCTCAGGAATCGGTGCAGGGGAGCCACATGATGCATTTGGTGGTACATAGATGGGCGTCGCACTTACAGGATGGCGTTAGGAAAAGAGAGGTCCTGCGGTTGGCGGTGATGGTAGTGTGGTCATCGGTGCCCCGCAGTACGGAGCAGCGTGTCAGCATGGCCGAAAAGCGTTTGCACGGGCGCATCCGCTAAGTAGTTTGCGTTCCAGTCGTACGTGAATATGCGGGCCTTTGATAGGGCTGCTGTAGCATGCCGCGGTCCGACAGCCAGGTCACAGCACCGTCCCCTCCTCTTTTCCTAAACTCCCATGTTCGTGGCGACTCAGAACCCAAGCCATGGATTGCGATGATACTGTCCAGCCGGTTAGACGTGCCTCGATGCGTTCGACGGGGTAGAACGTACTCGATAGTCGCGTCGTCGGGATTGTCGCCAACTAGGGCGATCTGGCGAAGTCTCCTGCCAGCCTAAAACTGGACGATATATCGAATTCCCCTACCAGCCTAAAGATGGAGTGGCGCCAGTTAGCATCCGGTCGCTTCGTCGTGGAGAGGGACCTCACCTCGGTCGTGGCCACCCGGAATGATTTCGAGAAGCGGGGCTCATATCGGCCCCACCTGCAGGTCAGCCAAGCAAGGGTCCGCTTCAATCGCTACGCAAACTGTATGAAGCTCGCCGTCAAAGCGGGGGAATATGGCGAGGAGCGTTTGGACGCAGCAAGACCCGAGTAAGGCGCTTCGTGCCCTTCTGCGTTGCTTGGCATGGAAAGAACAATCATGTCGGTCAGTTCTTGAGGGCGCCCGATGCCTAGCGCCCGAAGCGCCATGAAGCGGCCACTTCCAATCAGCTTACCCATGGTCCCAGCACCGACATCGGTCGCGTCCAACGGTATCTCGCGTCAGACGCGACCCGTGCCCTATCGAAGCGCAGACGATCAAAGGGGCGAGTCGTGTCTACGATCACGGCACCCTTGACAGCGACGCTCCCTAACGGATTACGACGAACGGCGGAGGTATCGAAACGGAGGGATATGATATGGCGACATGATTAAGCATTTCCCGCCGTCACGGCTGGCTGTTTTCGCCAACAGAGTGCACACAGTCGCCCGTCCCATCCCGACAATTCCCACCCTCGCTCCCGCCCGCGTCCTACATGGCCCCGTCACGTCCCCAGCTCTGGCCGGTGGGCTAGCAGCACTACCGCAGCGCGAGTGAGCATACTCTTTGACACTAGTATGCATAGCTCGAAGCCGAGGTGTTTGGGAAACAATAGGAGAAAAGCACCGCGGATGGCTTGCCGGCTGCCTATCGCTTCTATGAGGGCCCTGGAAAGCGCCTCGTCGGCAACCCGGCCGACGATATACCGGCTTTCCTGCGGAGGGAACTGTCTCTTGGCGGCCTGGCCGACATGCTCAAACATCTCTGGTTTGCTGGCGCTGAGCGTCCCGCCACCCCCCTGCACTTTCATGTCGCTATGGGCCGGGAAATCGTCATCGCGGACCGGATGGACCTGCACCTGCTCTGGACCAACAAAAGGAAGCTCTTCGTCAAGCCCATTCCGCGCTTTCTTCTCGATCCAGACTTTTGTCGCAGCAACCTGCAGTGTCCTGATGGCTGTGCGTGTTATACGCCGGCAAACACGTGCCGCGGGATAGCGCGGAAAGTCGCCCTTGGTTTCCTCAACACCTACGCCTGTCTCATATCGTCCGAGAGCGACTTCCACTTCGCCAACGAAAAGCGCCTCCTGCCTCGCAATGAAGATGACTCGCCGATTAATGGGCAGATTGGAAGGCCTTGACCAGGGAACTCCTCAGAGTGCACGAGCGTGACCCAGATATGGTCCACCCACGTTTTCTTCGCGCCGAGCTCCGCCTCTCCCACATCAACACCATCCATCGCTTCACCCGTTTCCTTCCCTTCCACCCCTACGTCCGTGGCTGGCACAACTATAGCAGCCTCTTCCACGATAAGCTTGCCTGGATGGCCACTGCCGCCGTCTTCGTGGCCCTGGTGCTGACCGCGATGCAGGTCGGCCTCGCTACGGAGCTTCTCCAAACGAATACCACCTTCCAGCAGGCGTCGTACGGCTTCACCGTCTTTGCCATCCTAGGGCCTATTTGCGCGCGTTCGGCTTGGTGGCCCTAGGCGCGCTGTTCAACCTCGTCAATGACCTGCCGCTGCTCATCGGAGGACAGCGCAACCGCGCAGCACATGAGATTCATGATCAAGTTAGTCCATCGGCGCCCTAACTGCCGATGAGTGATCCCAAGAGTCTCGATTGCAGGCAATTTGTATATATTGCTGAGAAAAAGCGCTTTGACGTCTCTTGTCGATACAATTCGAACGCAGCGTTACATCATGACTTTTCGAGGGGTCGCCACACGCCGGCCCCTGAGGCGCCTCATTCGCCACGTCACAGACTTAGAATTCCATCAGCTAATGAGGGGTGCGATCAGGCATGCATGGCAAGGCGAGAACGTGTCGCCAGGCGGCAGTATTTACGCAATGAATTCATTCTGGAATGGAAATCCTATCTCTCCGTCCGCAAACTCCCGGCTCTTGGGAGCCAGTACGTTCAAGGTCGCAAGTCTTTGCATGGTGCGGGACGGGCCGCGGCATGACGCCTCTCCAGAGTGGAGAGTGGGTGGAAAAGGCATGCTTGCTCCCTTGGTTGGGTCGCTCCACCTGATCACCAGATTATGTCGTTGATGATCCCGATATGTCCGTGGTGCGCTGGGTTCACGAGTACTGTTGAACGACTGTGCGCCTTTTGTCTCACAAATGAAGAGGAAAGTACTTTTTACTGCCATTCGCCAGCAATTGTCCTGCTGCCCCGGCCTCTATATCGTAGATCTCTCTGTGACCTCTTCGGATTTGAAGCTGTCCGACCTCGCCGTCGTCGGCCTTTCTGCGACATAGTTCCCTTTGGTGTCTCTGTGACTTCCATCTCCTCAAACAACTTCTAGAGGAAGAGACAACTCAATTGACAGATTCTGGGCTGGTCCTAAGCACTCGAAAAGTTCACTGTTTAAAAGGCTCCCATAAAGCGTATTACCGTGGAATCGTGGCTGTTGGTCTTCCAACAACTGCCTTCCGTGATCACCTGCCAAATCCAACATTACCAATGACAAGGCGTAAGTTAGCTTTAATTTCATACAACGTATATATGAAGATGGATCGTCATAACCGGTGTAGTTGTGTCTTAGCCTCACCAGCTAGAGTCAAATAATATTCTAAATTCAGATCTGAAGTCATTGCTCAAGTGGACACGCCTCATAGTAAGCCCTCGGTGCGCCGGGCAAGCTCGTCGATGTCCTTGTCGGTGCAGCCCCTGCCGAGGTCGGCCGGGTGGATCCTGAAGAGCTGCTTTCTTGCCTCAGCGTCCGGGAGCGGGACGTTAATGCGCCTCTGGAAACGCCGCCGCACGGCCGGGTCGAGCGACCACGGGAGGTTGGTGGCCGCGAGGACGAGCACGCCCGAGTTATTCTTGCCGACGCCGTCCATTTGCACCAGGAACTCGGTCTTCATGCGGGCCGTGTGTTCGTTGCTGCCGCCGGGCTTGCCGTCGCGGTTGCCGCAGAGAGCGTCGATCTCGTTGATGAAGATGATGGCCGGTTTCTTCTCTCGTGCCAGCTCAAACAGCTGCCGGACAAGCCTTGTTGTCGGTTTGGGCGGTTAGCCTCTGATGGCCAAACGACTAAGGGTTCAAGCACAGCATCTAATCTACAGCTTACCCTTCGCTATCCCCAAACCACTTCGACAATGACATCGCTGCTGCTGATGCTGAGCAGCGTATGCTCGACCTCGGTCGCGACGGCCTTGGCGAGGTAGCTCTTCCCCGTGCCCGGCGGCCCGTAGAGGAGAATGGCGCCGCGGGCCTGCGCTTCCCCTGAAACATCTGGCGAAAGCGAAGCGGGAAGACAATGGCCTCCTGGAGCTCCTCCTTGGCCGGGCCCAGGCCCGCGACATCCTCCCACTTGATATTGGGCTTCTCTGAGACGATCGAGGCCCATCAGCGACTCACGTAGCTTCATGTCGCTGAACTGCTTGTCGACACGGTAGAGATCGAACGTGCCTTGCATTGGGGCCTGGTTCTTCCCGGGGGGCTGGCTTGCTGGCATCGAGTCAGTCCTCCTGAGAGAAGTTTGAGGACGGCGCTCAGCGCGTTGTTGGCGAGATCCGAGTCGGTCAAAGTCTCCCGCGGCACCACGCCGTCGTTATGCAGACTGGCCAGCTCCTGGGTGATGAGCCACATGGCATGGGTGAACTCGCCCCTGTCGCGTTTGCCGTTCTTGTCCACATCGGTGCGGTCACAGATCTCGCGGAGGAGCTCGTCGCTGAGGCCAGCCTTCCGCACCAGGGCGGCACCCTGTTCGCCAGTGAAATACCAATTGCCTGTTTCCTTGACGTGATTATAAAATATCCTTCAAAGATGTCTCGGGCGGCCTGGGGAATCTCATTGTCAGGCGCCCGCTTGTGAGCGTTCTTCCCTCCCAGATCTTCCGCCTTTTTCCCTCGGTGTTCCGGTTTCTTCTCTTCCGTTTTCTGCAGAACCACAGCGTTCTGGGCTGTTGGCTCTTTTGCCTGTCGTGAGGAATCCTTAGGTATCGGCTGCGGAAGAGGACGGCCGCCTTGAACGATGGCATCCGGGAACCCGGCGGTTATGCCGTCACAGTGAATGTAGTACGAGTAGTACTCTTGGGCTGTGCCTATAATGCGCGGTACCGCGTGTACAAAGAAGTCGGCGGTGTAGTATGGGCACAGTACGGTGTTCTTACCGATGGTGAACGCCGACGTGTAGGTGAAGTATCCGCCGGTACTGGTACTGACCTGCTTCAAAGTCTTGGCAACCCCCGGCCCAATACGGTCCCACTGCAAGGACCTGTTGCTCAGCTTGATCGGCACGCCGTCCTGCGCCCCGAAAAAGACATACTGAATCTTGGATGGCTGGAGACTGTGGTTGCCAAATTCGAGATATGGCGAGGCCATGGCTACGAAGGAGTCCGGGAAGCGGCCTTGGGAGCTGAGCTGCACGACGCCCTCACCAAAGCTTGGCTGCAGCCTCATAGTCCATGCATACCGTATGGCGAGAAGCTAACAACATGATCGACGGTGTATGGGTTCCAGCTGGGTGCCGCGCTCTGGATGGCGTAGCGGATGGCTTGTATGAGATCTCCGCGGTTTGAGTGGACTGGGCGAGTCAGCACATACATGCCACCCCGGATCAGGACACAGCCCTTCCGGGCCCGTTGGAACACGTACTCGTGCCGTTTCGCACCTGCAAGCAGTAGATCGTGGCAGGTCGATAGCCACCGGATGCGAGTGCCGGCCATGGACTTCTCGCTGGAAAGGGTCCCGAGCTGGTCCCATTTCTCTTTGATACCGCCCAAAGGTCGCATCTGTGTTGTGTGAGTATTACTACGTCAATAAGGGATAAGGGGCTGCCATGAGACGACGCACTGGAACGTATAGAGGTCATTGCCAATCGCCCATGAGGACGAGTCCTTTCCGGATTGGAAGAACACCATGTTGATGGCACGGAGATTGCTCCCATGGGACGGCTAAGTGTCTTGGGAATAAGGGTCAGAGAAGGCGGGTTCAGTTCAGACGGATGAAATGCAAGAAACTTCTCGTCCAAGTCCGGAACTTGACGGAGCACGCGCAGCCCAGCCCGGACCCCTCAATTTTCCCCATATGAGATACACACCTCTGTATTGACGTCAAACCCCGGGCGGCGGTCTTGCATCAACCCATGGAGTTTGCTTAGCTCCCCACAACTCTTTCCTGATATCGCTCTCCCTTCCCCCCTTTCTGTTCGCCGCCCTCGCTTTCGTCGCCCTCCCTTTCGCCCTCACTTCCGACCTCCTTCCCCTCTCCTCCATTTTTGCCGTCCTCCCTTCCGCTCTCTTTCCACTCTCCCTTTCGCCCTCCCTTTTCGCCGTCGTCCTTCCGCCCTCCTTCTGCTCTTCCATTTTGCACCTGATCGAACATCCTACTCAACGTACTAACCTACACGCCTGGGTCAGCTTCCACTTTCATAGTCAGACCTTCCAAGACGTCAACCAGCTCGTTACTCCTGTTGAACGATACGGGTGACTTCCCTCGCCGTGCGACACTCGATCTCAGACAACAAAACTGGGCCACGCGCTGTACTGTCCTGTCATCTTTCTTAATGGCAAAGGACGCCCAACGGAGGATACTATATAGACGACAATACCGGTAAACAGAGGTCCCTTGAGGCGTCGCGCTCATACGAAGAGCTACGTGATTTGCTCCATTGCGCGAGTGGAAATGCAAGGAGTTACGAAAAGTACTCGTTGAATTGACCCTAGTACTGTCAAAGAATCACCAGAGTCGGAGACGATACAGGTGGAGCAAAAGGAGCACCAGACTCATTTGGGCGAGGAGCATGAGAGCCCCGTGAGTTCTGACCATGATAAGACTCAGTTGGGCATAACGCTAATGGAAACTCAGCCACACTTGAGTGCAATTTCGGGATTTGTGGCACAGGGTATGATAGTCTCGGGAATCGACTGCAATGTGTATGCCATGAACATGCAAAGCGGCTGTGGGCTTTTTTGACCTCATAGTAAGGATTGGAGGACGGGAGTGAAGTGGACTATGGAGATACAAAGTCATTGTCCGCCGGAGCATCGTTCAGCGCCGGCTTCCTGTCCCGGCAACGGAGCATCAAGAAGAATGACTGCCTCGGGCTCAGAGGGGCAGACAAGTCTGAATTTCCCGCGATAGGCGCGTTCTCGTTCAAAGGTGTGTTTTTGTTATTGTTGAAGTTGGGAAAAATCCCTGAACAAATACACGAAAAGGGGGCGGCTTGTTCACCTGATATAAGGTAAGCGCATCCCGGAGCCCCGAGCCTGTTCCGAACGCGCTTGCTAAGTCTAGACTTGTGTATGGCAAGGCAGAAAGAGTACGGGGCCAAACTCGTATATAATGTGTTAGGTCATCGAATGCCCCTGGGGATGGGATGTCACGGCTGGGATGGTGACCTTGACCGAGCAAGCGGGACGCAGAACCGTGCCCCCCGCCCCCTATTCTCCCCCCTCCTTTTTTCTCTTCTTTTTTTTTTTTTTTTTTTTTTTGCGTTCTGCGGACGCTAAGGGGTAGTAATGTTAGCCGTGTTGGGCAGATTGCAATCGTAACTAGGACTCTCTTGTTATTGAACCTAATGCCTCTACCAGGTTTTCTAGGTCAGAGAATCAGGGGTTGACCAAAAACGGTATCGCCATATCTGCTTACTAGTAACCGGCGTGATGCACTAAATAACTTCTTCTCCCTCTTAATCTCCATTTTCCTCTCCCTATCCCTCTTCACCGGAGCACAGACTTGCTGATCTGGAACGGTCGCAGGAGTATATTGCAACTAGCTGGTAACGATTCTACGAGTTTGTCTCGAATGGAGAGAGAAGAAGAAAAAGAGTGAAAGACTATTTTGGGTGTGACTTTACCGCCGAGGCCAGCACTCCCATCGAGGAAAGATCGGATGCTCGACAGCCTGGACTACGACCTCGATCGTTCTCTAGAGATGCTTAAAATAAGTCTCACATACTCCGATTCCTGCTTTGTCTGTTGCGTAACATAATCATAACCCCTTGACCAAGGTGAAATAGGGTGTTACCAACCAAACCCTCATTCTATCCCTCGAAACCATGAAATCAGGAACCCGCCATATTCGAAAGGTATTGTATGTACATTTACCAAGTTTCCTGCCAGCTTCGGCTCGGTCCAGGTTGGAGTGCCCCGGGGTTTACCCAAGCTGGCAGCGCGGACTCCGGAGTTTCCGGGCCCCGCCATCTCCCACATCTGAGCGCGCTCTCAAGTGAAAACACCACGTCTGTTTGTTCGTGTCGGCGTCCGCGTCGGCGTCCGCGTCGGCGTCCGCGTCGGCGTCCGCGTCGGCGTCCGCGTCGGCGTCCGCGTCGAATGGAGCCTGTTGTGTGCACGGCATTGGAGCTACGTACCGACCACCCGGGCCAAGCGTTGCTCGCCTACCACTTGTCCATGTCTATGAACAGCTGCCGGCATTCCTCGCCATACCGTTCCTTCAGCGTCTCCCGGATTACCATCAAGCACTCGTTCTTGCGGTACCGGGCCATGTCGGGCCAGCCATGCTCGCGATAAATTGTCTGGACTAATGCTAGGGCTTCTTCGCGAATGCCTGAAAGCTTCACACTTTTCGGGTCGAGCACGACAGTCGGAGTGAGAGGGATTGAGTTCAGCTGCCGGAATGCGTCCTTTAGGAGCTCGAAGAAGTCGACAATGGCCCACGAGGGGTCCAAGCGCCAGTCCGTCTCGCTCTCGCCAATGTCGTAGGCATCGTCGAGGACGGGTTCGCGGGTCGGTTGGAGGCAGATCCAGCCGGGGCCCGAGACCCAATAGATGACTCCGAGCTCCGTGTCGAGCAACCACAGGTCTTGCTTGGTGGTGATGAGGCCGACGACGTGCGCAGGGACCAATCCCCAATCCTCGGGGGGCTCCGTGAAGATCTTGGGATCCCCAATTTCTTGGTTGCTGTCAGGGTGATCGACCTGACGGATTGCCTCAATCCAGTTATAAAAGTGAATACCACTGGGTGCAGCCTCCGCTTCGCTTTGGTCGCACCACTCTCCACCACGAAGGTAGGGGATATGGCGCAGTAGCTCAACGACTTTGTCTGTCTTTCCTAGGCCTCGAAGACGGTCAGGCGTAATCTCGGGCCATCCCCCTTCTGGAGGTCTCTGAATAGCGTCCTCGTCGAGGTACATGGCGGCGAGGAAGTCAAAGTAACCGCTGATCGCGCTAACAGTCTCCTCGTGGGAGTACTTGATTTTGCTGAGAGGTGGCATCTTATTTTGCGTGCTCGACTCTTGCGCAAAGGGAAGGAAAGGAGTGAAGGTCAGAAGCGCTTAGGTTGGGACTCACTTGGAAGGACTGGAGAGGGACCAGGCAACAACTGACAACCACTATGGCCGACAAGTGCCAAGTCACTTCCCTCGAGGAACCCCACTCCCCCACCTGCCATTGTTCGAAGTACATGTGTAAGGTCCTGAAATTTCAATTGGGCTTGGAAGCCCAGAGCCTCTGAGCCGAAGGAACTGAAAATCCGAACTAGGATCTCGATGACATCTCCTAAGATAACTCCCGAGTATAACTCAACTCGTTAACGAAATGGAAACGAACCCCTCGCCGGCGACAACCACTGTCGTCATTTTTAATTATACTCTAATCCGTACACTTAAACAACCTCATGTTTTCGTCGTGTCCTCTCCTGTGCTCTCGAATGCAAACCAGCTCCCACCGCGTTCTGACCCGCCTTGTACCCGGCGGCGTAGTCCTATGGAGGTTACCCCTTATTCTGCGGCCACGACTGATGCCTTCGCGGATTATTTGCCACGTTCCACGGGTCGACATTCAGCAGGGTGAAGCCCGGGTCCTGGGGAGTCTTGGCTCGCCGCCAGCAGGAGTGTCCCACAAGCCATCGTCATAAACCTGTTTGCCGTCCATGACTGTCGAGCTGGTTCTGGCCGCCGCGACCCTGTCCCTGATGACGCGGTCGGGCAAGGCCGCGAGTGGTTCCCTGAAGCACAAGTTCCACCACATCCCATTACCGGCAGCCTGATTTTGCTTGTTGGACAGCAATCGCACCGGCTGGGCGTTGCTGGCTTCGCCGCCGGAATACCACTCCACTATCACGGGTGGTGACAGGCAATACTAGGTGATTTGGTAGTATTGCTAAGATCGCACAAGGAACCAGAACTCTGTGGGCTGTGCGCAGCCGTGGGGTACTCTGCAGGGCAAGGTGGGGCTGCGCACTGACCAAGAGGGTGGCAGCGCAAGACCCACTCCAGTGAGCTTGCCTAATCTAATTTACATGGGATGCAACCCTAACCCTGCACGGGCATTGCCCGTGACATCCACCATATTCTCATTGAGGAAATCTGCAGGGGGAAACTCGTCTCGGTCGCAGTTATTGCGCATTCCAGCCAGCGCCCTTGTGCTCTGTCAACCACGCCTTTACAGCTGGAGAGTCCTTCTCTCGGATAGTGGACGATGTCGCGGCCTCGGGAGGGCAGGTCAGTGCCGCCCATTGGTTATTGACCCGAATGGCCGAGCTGTAGTGATAGCAGGCTTGTCCATATTTCGCCTCGCGTTTCCGTTTGACTTGGCTAGGCGTGGCGCCTTGTACCGAGATGAGGGATGTCACGATATATTCGGTCGTTCTCGTCTCGTCTCTGACACACTCCAGCACCCGGATCATGTTCTTGCCACCCAACTGCCGTGTCATCCGCTTGGGCGGAGGAATAATGGAAGTGGGGGTATGCAAAGCGCACTTCTGTGGACAGCCGATGGCTTTGGGCGCAATCAGTTTTCTACCTTTCGGTCTTTTTGTTATATGTCTTGATTATCCAAATGCAGTTCTAGATAGATCCCCGATTAGCCGGAAGTTTCCAGACGGATAGTTGAACCCTCGCCTCGTCTGGTCGGAAACGAAAAGGGGCAACAAGATGCTTTCCCCAGTCTTTGGCAGGCAGACTCGGTCTTGCCGCGGTCTCCGCTACCACCAATATGGCTATCAGCTCGGCAGAAACCTGGAGCTCGACGTTTGGGCCTCGCCGCCGGATTTCCTGGCACGCCAACCAGAGCAGAAGCAGGCAGCTGCGAGTCTCATCACGCAAAGTCTAGGTGTCACGGGAGGCGGCGACATCTGTGGTGCCCTGTGGTGTCATCAAACATTCACCTTCCAATCTACAATTGGCTTCTCGGACCACAATCCTCTAGCTCCGATGAGGATTTTCAAGTCGAGGATGAAACATACTTCACCACCTTTCGCATTCTGTCGGTCTGGCACGCCGGCATCTGTTATTTGAACCGGTCCAGCACGCACTCGCTGGTTCAAGACGGCCAACATGGGGCCCACACATGCTCGGGGCTCTGGCAAGCGCTTGATATTCAGCAGCGGTGGGAAAAGACCGAATTATTCATCATGGAATCCCTCGCAGAGCTTTACCTCGTCGGAAGCCTGAAGAAGAACGGCCCGTCAAAGACGATCTCAGCCGCGCCGTTTTCGAATCAGTGACGGATGGCCATGTAACGGGCTGGGCCCGGTGCGAGCCTCGGCGACTCTCGGCCAATACCAAGACCCCTGATGAGGCTATTCCCACTCGCCCCACAGCACACCGAACCTTCTAGCAACGCGCTCAGACCAGCGCGCCGACGAGGATAAGTATGCTTGCGAGCTACCAGAGTCTGTCGTCTCTCCTTTTCTTCTCCAAGTTCAGTGTACTCGTAGAGTCGTCATCAGCTAGTTGCAATATACTACCTGAGACCGTTACAGGCCAGGTCTATGTTTCCACTGGCTTCGGACTCCAGCTTTTTTTTTGGATGTTCGAAACAAGCTACATGATCGACGGCTCCTCAGCAAGCCCTTGCACACTGTTCGGACGTTCCTCTCTTCTCGCACTACGACCATGAGCACCGTCGATTCAGGGTCCCAAAGCATTGTGCATCCTGTTGAGTCTTGGAATGGCAACTGAGCTCCATTTTGGCGGGTCATTTAAGGAAATGGCCTCGGTGTAGGACGAGCTATGCAGAAGCAATCTCGCGTCTAGTCGTTTGAGGGAAGGCAGTTTATATCTCCGCTGTACTCAGCATGCATATTCCCGGACGATCCCTCGTGTCCTTCACCATGCTCAGCTCGCTTGGAAGCCACTAGACACTGTCCGATGTTTTATCATGAATACTGGCTGACAGCTAGACTCAGTTTCCGATACTCTTATAGATTCCACAAGCAGGAAATTTCTTAACGGCCATAGTTAAGGCGTCTTATTCGTGAGAAGACGCCAGGCTGCTGACCAAAGTGTATCAAATCATTCCAGCCTCTCTGCCTCTATGAACCTGCACTATAGTACCTAACTAACCGCTAGAATTTTTATACTTCTAAGCTTATAAGGTGAATGCTTCTAGAGGGGACAACGATAGCGACAGAGGTGAAGAAGAGCGACGAGATGAGTCGCCAGCTGAACGAACTAAGGAGTAAGGTAAAAGGTAACTCCTGGGGCTTAGCCTTTAGCGTCTTAAGCATGAAAGATTATACCAGCATCTGTCCCTTGTACGTGCCTAATTTTTCTGAGCCTGTATCTTTACACCTGAAATCCCCTCCCTTGCACAATACCTAGGTGGCTAGAAGGCATTAAACCGTCCATTAATTCCTCCCCACTACTGTTGTCCCAGCCCCTCAAGTGCCCGGCCGATGGCGTGAGGCTGGAGACGCACGATCGCGGCTGGTAGAGACCCACCCCTGGGGATGGGGAAATGACCCGTGGCGGAGACAAGACACGGAAAAGCTGTGTAAACAGGAATAAGGCACCTGTCGAATGTTCCTCCTCGCGACAAGGTTGTCGAACAGTTGTCGCCCGACACCACACTAAGCCTCCATTCGTTCTTTGGCATTGCCTTCTTTCGTCGCTCTTTCGTTCATTACGCTCGTTGTCCTTTCGTCCATTCTCTTCGTCGTTCCGTTGTCCCTTCTGTGTCGAACCACGACCCCGTGGCACAGCCGAGTTTCCCACGATTCTCCCAGCTGCTACAGGAGCTGAGGGCTATGATCTGGACTGCGTCGATCGAGCCACGCGTCATGGAGATCAGCTTGGTGAACTGTACACGCACCAGGGTAGGACTGTCTCGGATCTCGTTGCGGGGAACGCCCAACCCCGACCCGCTGAGGGTGTCCGTAGAGGCGTGCCGGGTCTTGCTGCGCTGCTCTCAGGGTTGACCTTCGCGTTCCTCATGGCGGTGGCCGGAGGGGTTGCCTCCCCTGAGGCGGTCGTCTTTCCCACCCCAGATGGACGTGCTGAGCCAAGACTTCAAGCCCACCATCTGGAGCAAACTCGCCGATAGAATTCGACGGCCTGGGTGATATGAGCCTGCCCTTGTGCGGCAACTTCGACGACGTCTCTCGCCGCCTTCGGCCGCTGCCCCGGGAGTTTGTGGACCCCTTCCAGAATCTTGGGCAATTCCAGCTCAACCTCCGTGGGTCGAGCTCAAGCTATCAATGCCCACTTGTCCCCTTCTGTGACTGCCACTCGTGCCTTGGAACAACCACTTCTTTCAAGTGTTCAGGGTAGACAAAGAATGCCATCACTGACGTTTTTTGTGTGTCAGATATCCTCAAGTCCAGCTGACGGAACTGTGCCGACGGGCAGCTGCAAGACACTGTAACCTTCGTTCGGTCCCTGCTGAACATCCGGGCGCCCTAACGTAATTGAGACCATCACAGTCAAGATCATGGTAGACCGCTCCCAACCACCTGCAGTCCGAAGACGCACAACTTGAGACCCCTAGTGTACCGCATTGTCCCGCGCCTAACCACACCGGCATCGAGCCGGACGTCCTTTTTTCCATAGCCCACTATGGGAACCTCATGGTGGAGGAAGGCGGATAGCAAGCCCAATGGCCATCGCTTCTGGACCTTCTGCTTTCCGCGCCGCTGTCTTTACCAGGAAGCGACACAGCAGCTTCGTGTCCTCCACGTGATCGATCCCATAGCGCTCAGAGCCAACAAGACGATCCTGGTAGGCTCTGGCCGGCGGATCTACGGGAGATCTTCTAGCGGCATACGCTCGCTAGTGGGATGCATATGAGAGAGAACACCCCAGCATCGTCGCGTGGCTGGAGGTTTCCATCGCCCATCCGCATCTCCCTTTCATTGAGAACCCCTGGGTCATTTGCGGCGTCAACTATGGCATGGGCGAGGCCAGGGTCGAGCTCAACGAACAGGAACTGGCGCTGATGGGGTAGTTGAGTCGCTGGACGGATAAGGCAGCTACCAAAGCATGATGCTATGGAACTACTACCAAATTGTTCATGTGGTAGACAATTTTCAGAGGCGTTGAATCAATTGAGAGAATCGTGCAAACCCGGACCAGAAAGCGATAACATTGCATCAAACAAAGGATGGTGAAAGACAGTTTGCATTGAAGCAGGTTTGAGGGTGAGTTCGCCACGACTTGGGTTCGGCAGTGGGAGATTCATCAATTGTTGAAGATAGGAGAGGTGCCCCTTCGGACGAAGCAAGACCCGTATTCCGACAGCAGTGGAAACATGGATCCTCCATCATGCATGCAACTTGTCCTCACCGCGACTGTCTGCTTCCCGACCGTGGTCGATCAAGGGGTAATAAAGGGAAATGACATTGCGAATGGATGCAGCAGGACGAAAAAAGGAAGGAAATACAGGCAGTGAGTGGCAGGATGGGATGGGCACTGTGCCTCTACGAGGATGAGGCCCTGGAGATGTGGGTTCTCCCAGTCACGGTCTCAGGTCAGCTCAGCTCAGCTCCACTTCTTTGTAGCATGGGTACAGTACCTTACCGATGGATAGGTTCGGCCGGATAAAGACATAGACTTATGATAACCTCTTGCATGTACACAAAAGCCTGGTCCCTCGGAATATCTTCAGCAAATGGAACCAGGTGCTTTGCCTGGCGGCGTGACCTGTGAATGGCGCCTTAGTCATGTACAAAGCGAAAAGTACCTTTCCCAAAAAAACAAAAAAAAAATATCTAACTGATAGTTTGTGTGTGTCGTGTTCGATGGCTTATGTCCTGAAATTACATGGCCCTCAACTCCTGTCCGCCAACTGAATTGAAATCAACCTTCGTGGATATGGGCAAGCACATACCACGTGCTAATCAGCCAAGTTCCGAGGTTCCGTGATGTCTTCCAGCCAGGTCCGCAGATGTTATGAAGGAGGCTGAGGGGCTGACTTCGTAACAAATACGATTGCCACCCCGGGTAGGTGGACCAGCCCGTTTCAAGCATCGGAAGCTCATCCGAGACCTGAAACGACACAAGGCCACTAGCCAGTCAAAGCAACACAATGGACCATTCCGTAGCATTGGACATGTACCCATTCAGGCTAAAGGTTAAATGCCATGCCCGGAACTCACATGGCCGCCCCCTGCCTTGTGAGTCCATCAAGCTTTCTCGGAGAGACAGTATCTTACCGGGTACCAGGGCCAGGAACTGACTGCATTACGACGAATGGGAAAGATGGCAGGTCCCCTTTGACAACGTCATGCAGCTCCTCGCACCTGACACTTGACCCCACACTGACCCATGAAGTCGAATATTACCCGAGACTGCAACTCTACGCGGAACATCAAAGTCAGCTGCTACGGAAATAGCTGGATGGGACTGACCTTTTCGAAAGGGCCGCCCCTTCTTACTAGGCCTTCTCGAAGCCATTCGAATTCCCGCGACGGACCCTGGATGCCACTCTGGAAAGCCTTCCCCTGAGGGACCAGGTAATAGAACACAGACCTTCCACATTATCTACACAATCAGCGAGCAACGGAACCTGGAAGCCCTACTGTGTGAATGGTTGCCTGAAACGGCCAGGAACCGTCGCTTTGAGTCCGGAGGCTCGACGGAGAACCGGAATGCAACTGATGGCGGTCCCTGCGACCCAGGGTAGTAGCCGGGCATGGGGAATGACAAGCTCCCAGCACCCCAGGTTTCCTCTCCTGGCATTGCCTGTCAACAAGGCGATCTGGAGCAGGCAAGGGTAGAGTATAAAAACACCAAGTCGATCTCACCGTTTTCAGCATCTCTCTGCTCACCACCGCCCTTGCAACCGCAAGTCAAACAGCCACCCCGTCCCATCCTGTCCTTCTCCAATCAACAACCGTCAACATGTGGCCCTCTCCCAAGGTCGCCTACCTCCTCCTCGCGGCGCATTCGCTGCTCGTCAGCGGCTCTCCCGTCGATGCCGAGTCCGTGGACGCCGCCGTCCTCGCCAAGCGCCAGTGCCCCGAGATCCACATCTTTGGCGCCCGCGAGACCACCGTCCCGCCCGGATACGGCACGGCCGGCACCGTCGTCAACCTGATCAAGCAGGCCTACCCGGGCGCCACCTCCGAGGCCATCAACTACCCGGCCTGCGGCGGCCAGTCCAGCTGCGGCGGCGTACAGTACGGCGACTCAGCCAGGCAGGGCACCAGCGCGGTTGCCTCGGCTGTCAACAGCTTTGCCCAGCGGTGTCCCAACACCAAGATTGTGCTGGTTGGATACTCACAGGTGAGTTCTGCGGTCTATCGACTCGAGGACCGGCTGTGGACTGACCAAAGAAGGGCGGTCAAATCATGGACAACGCCGTCTGCGGCGGTCCGGACAGCGGCTCGGGCATCACCAGCACCACACCGCCCATCTCAGCGGCGGCGCTCAACCAGATCAGGGCCGTCATCCTGATGGGCTCACCGCGCTACGTTGCAGGGCTCTCGTACAACGTGGGCACCTGCACCGCCCAGGGCGTGAGTTTACCATCCTGGACCCTTCCCAGGTTCGTGGAGATTAACAACCGTGTCAGTTCGCCGCCCGCCCGCGCGGCTACGTCTGCGGCTCCAACTCGGCCTCCAAGATCCAAAACTACTGCGACTCGACGGACCCGTACTGCTGCACGGGCAACGATGCCAACTCGCACCAGCAGTACGGCAACAAGTACGGCCAGCAGGCCCTTAACTTTGTCAAGAGCAAGCTCGCCGGTACTGGTGGCGGTACTCCCACATCCACCGGGTCCAACCCCGGCCCGACCGGCGGCACTGGCGGCGGTACCTGCGCGGCGCTTTATGGGCAGTGTGGCGGCCAGGGGTGGACGGGGCCCAAGTGCTGCACGCAGGGGACGTGCAAGGCTGCGAGTCAGTGGTACTCGCAGTGCCTGAACTAAGATATCGGAAACGGGAAGGAGCGGTTTCGGGAAGAGGTGACCAGAGGGCTGTGAGCTGGTGACGTTTTCGTGTAAATAGCTTTCTTTTTCGGCTGCATGCCGGTAAATATATCAATCGACGTGAAATCATGCAGTATTGTCCTGTCGTTGTGTTTGGTGGCGGCCGCACGGCAGCCGGTTTCAAATTCATGACAGCCCCTGCGCGAAATGTCATTGCACTACGACTGGAGTGTACCAAACCAGCGACCTCTAATGCAGGGCTTCCATTGACTTTGGCTAAGGATTTGTCATCGCCAGTCGTATCTGGTGCTTTGTTTGGGGGACGAATTCCATGTCAGGAAATGCGGTCATGCGATGAGTCAACCGGCATGCTTGCATTCGATTCCCTAACACAGAACCTCTCACGCTCTCCATCGACTTCTCGACTTGGTTCTCTCAACTCTAAAACAATGCCTGGTTCCGGTCAACAAACATGTCGGCCCTTGATCTTATGGAGGAGCTCGAGGCAATGGCGCAGCTTGCCACGGACCACGATGCAGGGACGGAAGAAGTCGACGATATTGCAATCCAGAGATGGCAGTGGCTTTTCGGCTACTCCTACTCCGAGGCCGCGAAAAAGGCTGCAATATCACAGGGCGAACATCGGCCGAACCATTGTTTCTGATGTCCACTGTAGTACGCGCGAAAAAGCAAGCCCAAGGATACGACAAGGAGGCCTACGAACGTGCATGCCAGATTCGGGTCTCGCAACAGACACGAACCGAACATCTTGCTCCGGCAGCCAAGGACACACGTTCGAGTATCTCCTCAAGATGGAGAGCCCACTGCACAGCATCGACACAATCAAGGCAGCTGCGCGGCTCTCGGAAGAGGACGGACGTTAGCGTCCTAAAGCTCAAGGTTATTGCTGGCACCGATGATTCGCTTCCGGCAAGCTTCTGTCTCGTCGACGTCACCATGAAGTACAGCATCCAAGGGTGGCTCAGCTCAGCTCAGTCACCATTCCAGCCGACGTCTATCCCGTATTCAATAGCCGAGAAGTCATTGTCAACTACTTTCCATTGCCCACCCCTCGGGCTTGACACGACTCTGCACACAGCACCGGCTTGATTCCGATTCGGCGCTACCGTCACCCGGTCAAGACGGATATCCAATCTGGTATTTCTTTGGCGGGAGCCTGGCCGATCCTGCGGTTCTTGGGCGAGTTTTGGGTCTGGGCATGGCACAGAGCCTGTTGTGTACCGTCTCGCGAGGATCACAGGACGCGCCCTGACAGAGTGGGGTGGGAAGTACATGGTTTTGGTGGATGCTACCCAAACGTCTACTTTGGAGGGTTCTGCGTTCTTGGTTCTCACGAAAGAGCAGAAAGACGCCCTCAGGGTATATGAGACGGATAGATAAGAGGTTGTGCGCTGCGAGATCAGGATGCTGGACGACAAGACTGCGGTCAGAAGCCTGACTTCTCGGTTCATTTCTGGTTGACGGATCATGAACCGTCTGGCCCGTCTTCACAGATAGAAATCACGCGCTCAAATACCTTCTGGCAAGGCCCATCAAAAACAGCGTCGATCCACAGAAAATCCTTCAGCACAAGCCTCGTCTCCGCCCACGTCGACAACTCAAGCACCCACAGGTTCTGCCCCATCATCCCGCCCAACCATTGCTCATTCAAGCTCCAGTCCTCAAAGATCGACACGCTCGCAACAAACACACCCCAGAGAAGCAGCTTACGGAGCCCTCGTTCATCACTAGATGCACTGCCACCCGCGCGAGGCAGCTGAAGGGCATCGTGCCACGCATCCAACACGGCCCTCAATCCGTCCGCCAGCACCGCCATTTTCTTCCCAATACCCTGCAGTCTGATGAGCAGCATCTTGGCATACGCCAGCATGCACTGTCTGAGGAGCTCATGCAGGAGCACACCCGGATGCAGGTGTAACCCGCCTTCCTTGTTCCTCGGTTCCAGTCGCAGCAGCCGGTACGGAACCGACGTCGCAAGCCGATGGGCCATCTCGACAGAGATCTTTGCTCCGCGCGTCGTCGCCGCCGCCGCCTCGTTCACAAGCCTGGAGAATTCGCGCAGGTCGGCCCACACGTGCAGCAAGCGAGGGTCGGGTCGTGCGTACAAGGCCAGTGCTGCTGCGAGCTCGGGGAAGCGTGTGGCGGGTCGGCCGTGGGCGATCTGAGGAGACCAGGACATCTTCCCGTGTTGAGGGAAGCGCAGTTTGTGGCCCAGGCCCATGGCCAGGCCGAGGTCGAGGCTGCAAGGCAGAGACGTCAGAACGAAGGTATTTTGCCCACATCTGCGCAACGAGAGATTGGAATGACTTACACCCTCGCCTTGTACGCTAGCATGTTCTCCGGGCCCAGAACCCGCAAGCCGCCTCGCAGCTGGACAATCCTCTGCAGACCGTCCATGTGCTTCACGGCTGTCGCGAGGTCGCCCGCGATGACGGCAGCCATGGCTAGCGAGCAGACGACGGCCATGGTCGAGAGTTCCAGCGCCTGCTTTTCGTCATCCAAGCTCCGCTGCAGATGCCGCAGTGCCTTGGCCAGGTGCACCTGGGCTACCGTGCTGTAGGGCCGGCCGGTCGCCAGGTCGTGGAAGGCCTGCGCGGCGAAGAGGGTCGAGTGTAGGATGCCCGGGTAGTGGGTGAGGTTGGCGAAGCAGAACAGGTTGTCGTCGTGGGGGCCCTCGGCCGTCATGTCCTGCAATCCGTATGTTGCAGGTTTGACAACTGTCAATGCTAATGAGGTCAAGTATCAGAGAGCACAGTCAACTTAATCGCGTTGGTCAAGAATCGACATCGACATGAGCTGACAGGTGTCGGAACATACCGCGGTAAATGAGACCCAGCGCGTAAGGCTGCATGTCACTACCGAAACCAAAGAGGGAGAGCTCAGAGGCAATCTTGCGGGGTGTGACGAGCGTCCAGCCCACGGCTTCCATCATTCCCTGGTCGCCGACTTGCTCTGTTCTTCTAGCCTTTGAGCCTGTGCACACACCCCTGCCATCTGCCGCCTGGGGCTCCGCCGGCGCGCTGGGCCAGTTCTTGCTGTTTCTGAATTTACCTGCATTCTTGCCGCGCATCACATGGCTGCGGATGAACTTGCGTGTCTCCGGGCCTGGTTTGGCAAAGGATGTGATGATGATGAACGGGTCAGAGCCCGGATCTAACGGGGAACAATCAGCACGGGCCTTAGTCCATGATCCAAGGGCGGGGGACGAGGCCACACTCTCGGTGATGGACGGCATGCGGGAGACGTGCAAGTGCTGGGACTCATCGTGATGATCAATGACTCCGGATGTAGGGTAGGAATTGTGCGCGTGTGCGTCAGGATTTTCTTTGTCGTGGCTTTGTTGGGTAAGTCCAGCAATCGTTCGTGCTCTTTTTTGAGGAACGTCAAGTCTGTTAAACCCCACTTGATTGATTGCCAAAAGAAGAATACAACGGGAAGTTCACGAGACAAGAGAGGTTGAATTTCATCACAACCTCGGACTCTCCGCTCGGATGCAAGGATCACAAATCATCAGCTCCCGGGTTTCAGCCAGGATTTGCCAAGTCTGCGTGACCCCCACTAGATTGACTTCCTTTTTTGGGAAACAGGTCAGGGATGTCTTACATGACCCTCCAACTCTTCACGCCGGCCATTGCAGTGGCTCCGCTAGAGAACCTTTGGACGCAGCAATCATTCACGATGGCACCAGGCTTAACATGCGAAGCACTGAGGCCCGGTTGCCTCCCTGGTTTCTATAAAAGAATCGACGTCCCTCCAGCTTCGAGGAACTGAGCAAGCAGTCTCGTGTCTGAATTGGCTTGCGACAAATTTTGTCGTTTACCTGACCCTCGAAACATTTGTTATAGCATCCGCTACTTTTCCTCTGATACCTCAGCAACCCCAATACCACGATGCTCTTCTGCAGCAATTCTGTGTCTTTCAACTCCGAAACGGACATTCCACCCCTCACAGACAAAGTCATCCTTGTGACAGGAGGCAACGTCGGTCTGGGCAAGCAAGCCGTCCTCGAATATGCGCGCCACCACCCACGCCTCATCTGGCTCGCAGCCCGCAGCGTGCCAAAAGCCAACGCCGCAGTTGCCGAGATTAAAGAGCAAGTCCCCGACGCAGCGATCCGGGTCATCGAGTTGGATCTTACCTCGTTCGTCTCCATCAAACGCGCCGCAGCCACCGTCCTCGCCAGCTCTCCACGTCTCGACATCCTGATGCTCAACGCCGGTATCATGGCAGCTCCGCCGGGCCTCACAGCCGACGGCTACGAACTGCAGTTCGGCACCAACCACATGGGCCACGCCCTCCTCACCAAACTCCTGCTCCCGCTCCTCACCCAGACCGCCTCGGCCGCCTCCACCGACGTCCGGATCGTCTCCCTGTCCTCCCACGGCCACATCTCGGCCGCCAAGCCCGGAATCGACTTTGCCTCGCTCAAGACCCGCGCCGAGGCCATGGGCGCGCTCGGCCGCTACTTCCAGAGCAAGCTGGCCAACGTGCTCTGGGCGCGGCAGCTGGCGAGAGAGTGCCCGCAGCTGACCGTCGCCGCGGTGCACCCGGGCGTGGTGCAGACGCAGCTGATGGAGCGGGCGACAGGGGCGCCGTGGATCATTAGGGCGCTAACAAGAGCTGGCATGGGCTTGCTGGCTACGCTGGAGGAGGGCGTGCGCAACCAGCTTTGGGCTTCGGTTGCGCCCGGCGTGGAGAGTGGGGAGTACTATGAGCCGGTTGGGGTCAAGGGAAAGGCGAGTGTGTATGGGGTGGATGATGGGCTGGCGAGGAGGCTGTGGGAGTGGACGGAGCGTGAGCTGGAGAGGCATGTGGTTGGGGCGTAAGGGACAGAGTGTGAGCTTGGGTTGATCTCTTAGAATCGCATTTAGACATTTCCTTGATGGAATCAATCCTATAATACTGCTTGCTGCAAGCTTCCTTTTTTCGGTCAGACATATCTTTGTTTTTGAATGGCATCAACGCAAAGAGTAGGTGGGTAAGGGTTGTGACAATCATGGACGAAGGTAAGGTACCATGCCTTTGTCAGACGAGCATTTCACATCAAATCAACCAACAAGACAAGGAGACAGTTCCATTAATGCCGAACTACTACTGCTCATAACCAGACACCATGACCCTCAACATGAAACCAGCCCACGACGATGCAGACTCCTCTCCAAAAGCAACCTGCACCCCCCCCAAACTGCCCTACGAGCCAAGCCCATCCAGTGTTCCAGTAGTATCCCTCAAGTTGAACTCCAAGCAGCTTGACTGCCCAACCCAAGGAAGAAGCAAACAAACGCGAAAACGTGTGCGGATAAACACACTAGCCGCCACAATCAGGCAGGCAGGATTTCAGGGCAAAACCCCCTCAAATCACACCAGACTCGGCAGCCTCGTCCTCATCAACCGTTGTATCACCACCATCCTTCTTTCCACCATCCTCCTCCTCCGCGGCATCCTCCCTGGAGAGCATGTCCGGGTTGAGTCGCGCCTTTCCGGTAATGAGGGGAGCCGACTTGCGGGCGCGGGTGCGCTTGGAGCCTGCGGCAGCAGCCGCGTCGACCGTCTTGCTCGTTCTGGCGCGCTTCTTGGACATTGGATTGACGTCCTGGGCCTCGTCGTTGTAGTCCTCGGCCAGTTGGTTGTTGCCGCCCTTCTTGGCAGCTTTTTCCGCGGCGATCTTCTGCTTGATCATGCCCCAGGCATTTTTCACCGTGCCTGCTGCGAGGCCCAACTCGGCGCTGGCTTTGGTGTAGTCGGGCTTGATATCCTGTAATGGGGGGAGAGGAATGTCAGTTTGATGTCCTGGCGCCAGATATGGAATGCTAACTTACACCGAGATTATCAGAGGCGATGACGCATTGAGCCATGATTCTCAGCTCACGCTCAGTCAGGAAAAAAGCCTTATCGTTTTCATTAGCCAAGGCGGCCGCCTTGCTGTCGGACTTGGTAGACTTGGGAGGCATGGTTATCGCTTTGGTCTCTGATCTGCCGGCTTAGATTAGCGCTAAAGGTGAACTGCCACGAAGCTGGCGTTGGCGAGATGAGGAATGTAAACATAGAAGCATTAGGGAAAAAACAGTCATGTGAGCTTCTGGGAGAAGCTCGATTTTCAACCAAAAGTAGTGCAAAGCAATCATGACCTCGGCAACCCTGCTTGCTGGAAGCGACAACTCGCCACCCATACAAACGGCGGTGATGGTGATGATGATGACGCTGATGATGCGGTAATTACTTACCTGACTGAACAGATGAGAAGCACTAATGGGAGAAGCTAAGCTCCAGAGAATGAGAGACTCGAGGTGCGGTGTTGTGGTCGGTTCAACTCAAGTCGCTTTTGAAGGTCGGAGATGATGTGTTGGAATGAAGAAGTGTGCCGGAGGGAATGGAAATAATTTACGCTTATGGGCAAAGCCAGAACCAGCCGAAATTGTGAAGCGGGTCCAGAAAGAAGAGCAAAGTCAATGATAAGTGGTATTCACACCAACTTTATGCAGATTCTTCTATCACTAGTTATGTCTTTAGCTAGGGTCAGGTGCAAAAAAGTGGTGGCTTCAGGAATCACGGTGGACTCAGTATGAAGTGCAGCATAGATATTTTAATCTGGCATCCTAGATTATCAAACTCTCAGCACGAATGAGTCACTCAGCATCAGAATACTTCACAAATGGACTTGGGAACCATGAGAATAGCAGCGCTGCTCTCAGATCAATCAGTTCAGTCAGACCCTCCTGATCTGATCTGACTGGTTCAGCGACCCCCGATCTGATTTGAACTGGACTGAATT